TGTGTCCGGGAATTTATCCGTTTCTTCTAGATTTTCTAGTTTATTTGCATAGCAGGGCTTATAGTATTCTCTGGTGGTAGTTTGTATTTCTGTGGGATCGGTGGTGATATCCCCTTTATCATTTTTTTATTGCATCTATTTCATTCTTCTCTCTTTTCTTCTTTATTAGTCTTGCTAGAGGTCTATCAATTTTGTTAATCTTTTCAAAAAACCAGCTTCTAGACTCATGAATTTTTTGAAGGGTTTTTTGTGTCTCTAGCTCCCTCAGTTCTCCTCTGATTTTAGTTATGTATTGCCTTCTGCTAGCTTTTGAATGTGTTTGCTGTTGCTTCTCTAGTTCTTTTAATTGTGATGTTAGGGTGTCGATTTTAGATCTTTCCTGCTTTCTCTTGTCGGCATTTACTGCTATAAATTTCCTCTATGCACTGCTTTGAATGCTTCCCAGAGATTCTGGTATGTTGTGTCTTTGTTCTCATTGGTTTCAAAGAAAATCTTTATTTCTGCCTTCATTTCATTATTTACGCAGTAGTCATTGAGGAGCAGGTTGTTCAGTTTCCACATAGTTGTGTGGTTTTGAGTTTATTCATCCTGAGTTCTAATTTGATTGCACTGTGGTCTGACAGACAGTTTGTTGTGATTTCTGTTCTTTTACATTTGCTGAGGAGTGTTTTACTTCCAATTATGTGGTCAGTTTTAGAATAAGTGCAATGTAGTGCTGAGAATAATGTATACTCTGTTGATTTGGGGTGGAGAGTTCTGTAGATGTCTATTAGGTCCTCTTGGTGCAGAGCTGAGTTCAAGTCCTGGATATCCTTGTTAACCTTCTGTCTCGTTGATCTGTCTAATATTGATAGTGGGATGTTAAAGTCTCCCATTATTATTGTGTGGGAGACTAAGTCTCTTTGTAGGTCTCTAAGGATTACAAAGGAACAGTAAATATTGCTTCCTGATCCTTCCTCTGGAAGCTTCATCCCAGAGGGGCACCAACCTGTATGAGGTGTCTTGTCCGCCCCTACTGGGAGGTGTCTCCCAGTCAGGCTACATAGGGGTCAGGGACGCACTGGAGGAGGCAGTCTGTCCGTTCTCAGAGCTTGAACGCCATGCTGGGAGAACCAGTGCTGTGTTCAGTGCCATCAGACAGGGACATTTAAGTGCAGAAGTTGTCTGCTGCCTTTTGTTTAGCTAAGCCCTGCCCACAGAGGTTGAGTCTATAGAGGCAGTAGGCCTTGCTGAGTTGGGGTGGGCTCCACCCAGTTCAAACTTCCCGGCTGCTTTGTTTACCTACTCAAGCCTCAGCAATGGCGGACACCTGTTCCCTCGCCAGGCAGCAGCCTCGCAGGTGGATCTCAGACAGCTGCGCTAGCAGTGAGCAAGGCTAGGTGGGAATAGGATCCGCCAAGCCAGGCACAGGGAAGAATCTCCTGGTCTGGTGGTTGCTAAGATGGTGGGAAAAGCAGAGTATTTGGGCGGAAGTGTACCATTTTTCCAGGTACAGTCTGTGATGGCTTCCCTTGGCTAGGAAAGGGAAATCCCCTGATCGCTTGTGCTTCCCAGGTGAGGTGATGTACCACAGTGCTTCAGCTTGCCCTTCATGGGCTGCACCCACTACTCCAACCAGTTCCAGTGGGATGACCCAGGTACCTCATGTTGGAATGCTGAAATCACCCGTCTTCCACATCAATCTCGCTGGGAGCTGCAAACTGGAGCTGTTCCTATTCGGCCATCTTGGAGGACCAAGACCATGTTGAATTTCATAAGAAACAGCCAAACTGTTTTTGCAAAGTAGCTGTACCATTTTGCATTCTCACCAGAAGTGTATGAGAATTTCAGTTGTGCTGCAGCTTCCTTATACTCTGTGTTGTCTGTTTATATGATTTTAAACATTTTTATGTGTGTGTGGTAGTATATCATTTTGGTTTTCATTTTCATGTCACTGGCCATGAATTTGAGTGTCTTTTAATATGATTATTTGCCATTCATATATCTTCTTTAATAAACTGTCTTTTAAAAATCTCTGCCTGTTTTTAAAATAGTTTTTAATTATTGGTTGAGAGAGTTTTTATGTCTTTATATATTTGGATATGAGTTATAGTCTCTGAAATTCAATTTTTCAAACCACAAAAAGAATACTTTTTTTGTGGTTCGTGCTTTTTTGTCTTAAGAGCTTTTTTAACACAGGGTCAAAATGCTGTTTTCTTCTAGACAGTTTATATTTTTGTAATTTTGTAAGTTCATTTTTGCATATGGTGCAAAGTATTGATAAAGATGTGATCATACAAAGTAGAGATCAGTGTGCATGACTTTACACTAATTTTGTGCACTCTTTTGTAGTTTTATGAGTGTGTCTTTATATACTGCACAAAGTATAGATGAAAGTTAATTTTTTTGTATATGAATGTCCAGTTATTCTAGCCCATTTGTGGAAAAGACTATTCTTTATTGAAATGTCTTGGCATCTTTGTCAACAGTTTTTTTTTTACCATATATGTATAGGTCTATTTCTGTACTCTACTGTCTTCACATTGTTTCTGTTCTTTTGCCAGCTCCATCTTGTCTTGCTTATTATGGCTTTTATATTAAGTCTTGAAATCAGGTTTAGTCTATTTCTCAAAAAGAGCTCAGAATTATGGTATTCCCTGAGTTTTTATGTTTCATATTTTTTCTGTAGCTTTCATAGTTTTAAGCTTGGCTAGATGTAAAATTCTGGGCTGTTACTTTGTTCACTGGTACGTTGCTTTATTTTTTGCTGTTGAAAAATAAGATGCCAGACCAATTTTCATACTCTTAGAAGTAATCTGTTCTTTTTGCTTTAAGGCCCTATGTGTTTAATCTCTATCTTCATCTAATAGTTTTACCAGGTTATATCTCAGAGTTGATTATTCAGTAAAGTTTCCCACGTACACCATAAGCCCATTTTGATATGCAGAGTCAAATGTTGTTTAATTCTTTTCTTTTCTGGAAGGGTAGAATGGATCATTTCTGTTCTTAGTTTTTAAATTCCTGATTCAAGGTTTTTTGTGATGTTTTTTCCCCCCATGTTGCCAAGTGCTTGTTAAGAATATATAATTCACTTAAATATCTTCTGACTTTTGATTAGTTGTAGGGGTGTGGATTTTCAATAGCTGAAATGTTTTGATTCTGATTTTCTGTTTTCTTCTTACATTAGCTTTGTATTGTAGAGTGATTTTTGTGCTTACTTTTTGGACAGGGTAAGGGTTTTAGGTGCTTTTTAGGTTCCTGCTTTTGTACTACTCTCTTAGGATACTGAAAAGGAGCTTTTAATGGATGACCTTTTTGTGGTGGAGAGGTACTGGTGTGTTTTTTAGGTCTCTTTGATTTTTACCAAATTCTTAACATCTCTCTCTTTAGCTTTCTCTCTCAAAGAATGTCTCCCCTCTTTTGTTAACATCTTTCTCTCCCAGGTTGACTTTCTTTGACGGCTGAGATCTGCCACCAGTTTTATACCTCTCATCAATATTTTCTGCACTTAGTGTGGGAATTTCTTTTTCTTAGGACGTGTTTTGTTACCGTTAGGCCATTCACCTTCTTTTGTGATCTCTTCATATATTCTGCTCTCTGTCCAAGATTGTAGCAATGTGAAATCTAGCGAGAGTGCTGATGGAGTTTGCAAAAATTTATAATATTCTGTTTTCTAGTAATACTGAAGCCCTGTCACTATTTTATTTCTCTTCTTGTGATTATGCATATGTTTTGGAGATTATGTAGGGAAACTTAGGTATAGGCTGCTGTCTTTATCCTATGGTAACCAAAAATTCCCAAAATTTAGATGTTTGTTTACTAAAAAATAAAGAATCCTGGGAGGTTGCATAACCTAATGCTGAGAATAAACCTATAAAGTTGGACTTTTTGGGTCCAGATCCTGGCTTTACCATTTACTAGCTATAAAATCTTGAATAAGTTACTTAATTTTTCAATGTTTCGGTTTTCTTGTATAATAGAAATTATATCTATAAGGATTATTTTGAATGTTATGTAAGAACTTAATATAAAACCTGGCATGGTAAGTGCCCACTTATACTGTTGTTATCATTCTCATCATTGTTTTTAATATTGTCACCACCAACAATATCTGCATTCAAAAATTGCAGAATTTAAATTGTAATTGATCTTGGTTGAGGCTAGTGCTCAATAGTTGTAAATAATGAGATATGGAAAGTTGAAATGGAGGGGTGGAATAGTAAGTAGTAACCATTTTGTGTCACAAATATTTTTGAGAGTGTAATAAAAACTCTTCTCTTTCCGCTCCTAAATGTACAAGAACTCTTCTTTTACATAGGATTTCAGAAGATTAATTAGGCAAACTTGAAGTTTAGTGATAAAATTAAGATTACTGATGTTTAAATAGGAAGAGAAAGAAAATAAGCTCATGAAAAGATCTTTGTCACATGTAAGACATTGTGCTAAAATAATAGATCTAAAATTCAGTTTTCCAATATTTCCTTTAAAATATTCTATTTTGAGATACGTAACTTTTAAGCGTAATTGAAAACATTATCTCTAACAATGTATTGTGTCATTATTCATTGCAGTTTTTATTTACAACTTTCAACACAAACTGATAGCTTATCATTTTTAAGATTTTATTTTCATTTATCATAGTTCAGGGTTTTGTCATAGTAGTTTTCATTAACAAACTTTTAAAAAAATCTATTTATTTGTAAATATGTCTGACTGGCATCACAGAACTGTTCTTTGACAAAAACTATAAATGGTAGATATCCGAGTTAATTATAAATGATGCCCTAGATATAGAGTCCAAAAACAAAAATGGGCAGGTACTAGTAAAGGGAGACACTACTTAACGTAACACGCAAATGGGTCTGTTATCATGAAATCGGGACATTTTTAGAGTTATTTAGTAGGGGAATTGAATAGCTTTTTAAGAAGTTAAGTTCTAATTCTCACATTTAGTCATTGAAATTTTAAGTATACCGTTTAAATGCTGTTAATATTATTGTCTTTTATGGCTTTTGTTTTAGCCTGATGTAAATGCTGACATTGTGCATTGGCTCTCTTGGACTGCTCAAGGCTTTTTATCTCCACTTGCTGCAGCAGTAGGAGGTGTTGCCAGCCAAGAAGTATTGAAAGCTGTAACAGGAAAATTTTCTCCTTTGTGCCAGTGGGTTAGTTCTGAGTTTTTAAGGTTGAATTCTTTACTCATGAAATGAAATGTGTTACATATTATAATTTAGTATTAATATATTAGAAAAGCAACCTTAAAATACATTTTGATGCATGAAAGAGATGCAAGCAGTATGCCTCCAACACTTGATTCTGTGATTGAAATTAACAAGATGATATTTTAGGGCTATTGAGATATAACTCAAAGTTGCCTTCTCAAATGTATTTCCCTTAGTTGTGACAGTAAGGGAATGAATGTTCTATCCTTATAGGTAATTGTTCTCCAGTACCATAAGCTTAGCATTCTTGGACTCTCAGGACTCTTGAATTTGTTCCATGGAATCTTTTACTATCATGAACCTTCAGGTTCCCTTTCTAGGTGTAAACTTACAAAAGTGGAGAACATGGGAGTGGTACAGGTTTTAGAGTTGCATGGGGTATGAACATCACAAGATGGAATAAAAATCCCCATGTCTTTTACCAGCAGGAATAATTGGCAAAAGGTATGAAAGGATGCTGCCTCCAGGCCCTCTCTCTGTTGAAACACCATAAACATTTTGAATATAACATTTATCATTTTATTTTTTATTTATTTTTTTGGGACAGAGTCTCGCACCGTCACCCAGGCTGGAGTGCAATCGCACGATCTCAGCTCACTGCAACCTCTGCCTCCCGGGTTCACGCGATTCTCCTGCCTCAGCCTCCCAAGTAGATGGGGTTACAGACACGCAGCACCACACCTGGCTAATTTTTTGTGTTTTTAGTAGAGATGGGATTTCACTATGTTGTCAGACTGGTCTCAAACGCCTGACCTCGTGATCTGCCTACCTCGGCCTCCCAAAGTGCTGGGATTACAGGCGTGAGCCACTGCACCCGGCTCATTTTTTTATATTTTAATAGGTACTCACAGTGCTATTTTGCTGCTGAATTCTTTATTTTAACATAGAATACAAGTACGTTAGTAAAAATCTGGTTTAAAGATAACCATTAGGGCAGGCGCGGTGGCTCATGCCTGTAATCACAGCACTTTGAGAGACCGAGGCGGGCAGCTCATGAGGTCAGGAGATCGAGACCATCCTGGCTAACATTGTGAAACCCCACCTGTACTAAAAATACAAAAAATTAGCTGGGCATGGTGACACACCCCTGAAGTTCCAGCTACTCGGGAGGCTGAGGCAGGAGAATCGCTTGAACCTGGGAGCCAGAGGTTGTAGTGAGCCGCGATTGTTCTACTGCACTCCAGCCTGGGTTAATTGTTAATATAGATTCTGTGTTATAATACAATAAGTAACCAGTTGTTCACGTTCAAATTTAGCCACACAAGTTACTTAAATGAAAATGAGAGTAAGACTCAGTTCTTCATTAACTTTAATTATCTTTGATATTTTTAAAAAGCTGAAATTTTGGTTTCCTAGATTATTTTCCTATAGTGTGTATAATTATAGATGACATACACATACACATAGTATGTATAATTATAGATTATATATCCAAGCTGAAAAATAAATACAGAGTAGGTACTTTGTTCTCAAAAAGTAATCAAATTATGGCTGGGCACAGTGGCTCATGCCTGTAATCCCAGCACTTTGGGAGGCTGAGATGGGCAGATCGCCTGAGGTCAGGAGTTCAAGACCAGCCTGGCCAACATGGTGAAACCCCATCTCTACTAAAAATACAAAAAAAATTAGCCGGGCGTGGTGGCGCGCACCTATAGTCCTGGCTACTTGGTAGACTGAGGCAGGAGAATCACTTGAACTCAGGAGGCAGAGATCACGCCACTGCACTCCAACCTGGGCAACAGAAAGACTCTGTCTCAAAAAATCAAAAACAAAAAACAAAAAGTAATCAAATTACTCATTCAAATGTAGCTAAAATTGAATGGGGGCTTCTAAAACTTTTGTGTAGCTATGAAAAATAGATTTGGAGGTGAAATTTCCTTTGGTTTAAAATTAGGATACATCATGTTTAGGATGGCTAAGTGACATGAATCCAATTATATCTGTTAACAGTTCCTTCAGTTTTTACCGTTATTTTAATGAGAGAATATCGATATATATATTACATGTTTTTAATTATATTTTTAAATATTTTACTCTGAGTTGCCTTTTTTTATCATTTTTTCCTTCATGACTATTAAATAACTATAAAGGAGCTTCTTTTTATAGTAATTTAAGTTTTATACATAATAATTGTATTTTTAATCTTCTACTTTAAGTTATATCTTGAAGCAGCAGATATTGTTGAATCACTAGGCAAACCTGAATGTGAAGAATTTCTGCCACGGTAATAATGAAATTTCTCTTGCTTTTACTAACAGGGAAATAAATTTTAAAAGTTTTGTCTAAACATACCTTCGTTTTATATGTCTTTTCTCCTAAATCACTTTTGTAGTTGTTTTTTCTCTACTTAGTAATCATTTTAAGTGTCATAATAATGTCATATCGCTTTACTACTTGATAAATAGTGAATGCAAAGTTTTAAATTTTATGCCATGAGAAGGGTTAGCATTTAAAATACTGTAATGATGTTAGACAGAAAAAACTGCTATCTGCAGTCTTTATTTATATAAGTCATTCTTCACCTTTTTGGGTCATAAATCTTTTTGAGAATGAAAAGTTTAGAATTATTCTCCCTAAAATGCACATAACCCAAATTTCTGCCTTTGATTTAAGTGGGTTATCAGCTCCAAAGCCCATCCGTAGATTCCTCTAAGAACTTCTCTTAAAAATCTCTGGCTTAGGAAAATTTTTTTTCTAGATAAACCAAAGTTACCTTCACTTAAGTCATTTGTATTTAGACTATTAAGCCAAGTGGAAAAAGGAAAAATGGATTTCTTTATGGGGGCTTTTCTTTTTCAATTAAGATTGGTTAGGGGAAACTTTTAAAGAATATTTCCTTTTAAAGTACAACATTAAATTGGTATTAATGACAGTGAAACTAATTTTAATGGTTTTTATTTCTGCTTTTTGGTATGTGTTATTTTTTTCAGGGGAGATAGATATGATGCTTTAAGAGCCTGCATTGGAGACACTTTGTGCCAGAAACTGCAAAATTTAAACATCTTCTTAGTAAGTATGAATAATCATGGGAATAGTATGTTCAAACTGCTATCGTATATCAACTTAATTCATTAAAACAAATTTGAGTATAAGTGTGTAGAGTACAAGTGAGTAGTTGCATCCAAGACCATGTGGCCTGTAAAGCTGAAATTGTTTACTGCCTGGCCCTTTACAGAAAAAGTTTTCCATCCTCTGGTCTAATTAATATATTTAAAGTAAAAATATGAATATGATAATTTAAAAAATTAAATTATTTTCTAGAAATATGTTTGAAAATTGGTGGGTTTTTTATTTTTTTCTCACTAAATGAAAGAATATGTAAGTGTATTCTGTATCTTTTCTTTTTTTTTTTTTTTTTTGAGACAAAATCTTGCTCTGTCACTCAGACTGGAATGCAGTGACATGATCTCAGCTCAATGCAACCTCTGCCTCTGGTTCAAGTGATTCTCTTGCCTCAGCCTCCCGAGTAGCTGGGACTACAGGGGCGTGCCACCACGCCCAGGTACTTTCTGTATTTTCCATAGAGACGGAGTTTCACCATATTGGCTAGGCTGGTCTTGAAATCCTGACCTCATGATCCGCCCTCCTCACCTTCCCAAAGTGCTGGGATTACAGGCGTGAGGCACCTCACCCAGCCTATTCTGTATTTCTTAATTGTCTTAGTGCATTGGCAGGGAAATTTTCTCCAATAACATAAAACAACTCCCTGCCATTTATTGTTTTAATTATTATAATTAGCCCTGAAAATTACTGCATATTCTCATTAATCATCTTTAAAATAATGTTTTGAAAATCAACTGTTATTGAGCTTTTTACATGCATATGGAATCTAGTATTATCAATTTTAGATAATAATAGAAGTCTTAGAATAGTTTTATTCAGAAAAGGAGTTTTGAGAAATGTCCAAAAGGGAGGAATCTTTTTTTTAATGTTGTACTAATATTATATTGCATTTATTTCTATCTTACATAAGCAGTTCAATGTTTAAATTTTATTTGGAATTTTTAAATGTCTTCTGTTTAAAGAAATTATAAAATTATGCTTTTGCTTATTTGATTTATACTTTTTTTTTTCTTTGAAACACAGTGGTAAAATAAACCTGGTAAATATTTCAAAGTAAAATAATTTACAAATGGTCAGATTATTTTAATCTGATATGTACCGTTTTTCTCCTCCATAGGTAGGGTGTGGAGCCATAGGCTGTGAAATGTTAAAAAATTTTGCTTTACTTGGTGTTGGCACAAGCAAAGAGAAAGGAATGGTAAGATATCAATCCTTGAGAGTTAAAAGTTTATATTTCTGTTGTTGCCCATTTTTCAGCTGTATTTGACTGAATAAATCTGAAGTATCAATTTTTTGAAAATAGAGCATTAAACTAAAAATTGGAAGATTCTGATGCCCTTCTGACCACTTTTCGAAACTGATGTTACCTTGTAGCAAATTACTTCTCTTTCCCTTGTAGCAAATTAATTCTTTTCTCAGTTTCCTTCTCTACTACTGTGAAACTGACATTTGTACTACCTATCTCATAACGTTATTGTGATGATCAAATGTGAAAGGGCTTTGCAAACTATAAAATATGTTGTTATTTCTGTCAGATAGTGTTTATTGTTAAATGTTTAAGATAACTGAAGCTAACATTACAAAGTTGCAGAGTACTCAGATGTAGTTTCAATTAGTGAGTATTAAAAGTAGTGGGAAAAATATAAATCTCAGTGTACAATTTAAATTCTTAAGACTCTAAATGTGAGTTAATTGCAAGCCATGTCATATATTTAAACAGAAGTTTTATTTCACTGGTGCTGTTTGCCCTTTAAGATAAACTATCTTCCTTTGGTGATTTCATAGATATATCAAGGTGACTAACAGAAGACTAATTAAATGGCTAAAATTTGTATGATAGTTCACCTTTTGTAAAAGTTTATTAAACTTAGCTTATTCCAATTCAAAAGAGCATACATTACTATCATAGTTACAGGCAGATATTCTATGTTTATATTAACATTTCCTAAATACTGCTCCACAAACCACTATTACTTGTGGTGATTTTAAAAAGAAAAAAAGTCTTTGGTTACATCAGTTTAGGAATCACCTAACTACTTTAACTCCTTGGAAATTCATGATGCACATGAGTATATAAAGGTCAGGAAAATAACTGTAATGAAGAAACCTACTGATTTCAGATGACAAAACAAGGTAAGTTAATGTGGACATGCTTCTATACTACTGGAAACGCCCAGACTTACTGTATACGTTTTTTTAAAGTGTAATGTAACCAAGCTGAAAAGAGAAATTCCCAGGTCCCAGGAACCAAGAGAGAAGAAAAAGTCCTAAGTTGAAAGCCATGGGAACTTACAAGTGTTTCTATCTTGAATGTCTGTCCAAAACTTTAAGTAAAAACAGAAGTCACTAATGAGAAATTGAGACTCAGAGCATGTACCACACCGGAGTAAGGGGTCCAAAATTATATCATGTAAAAACTTTAAGCAGAGAAAGGAATATAACAAATTTAAGACCACTAAAACTTACAGCCTTTAAAACAAATGTAAAACTGCATCATGATGATAATAACACACTCAGGACTATGCAAAAAAGTCAGCCTTCATTAAAGATTATTCAGATTAAAAAATGACTGTTCACTAGAAAGGGAATCACTGCAAGAATCAGCCATGGCAAATAAAAGAATTAGTCTCCTAAGAATTATAGATAATAGAAGTGCTACCAATAATAGAATATTTTACAGAAAATATAACAAACTTTAATTTTAAAAATGATCAGAGATTAAGAGGACTAGAAATGGGAAAAAGGGTGCTGAGATTTTTACAGAAAGCCAAATAAGAATTTCTGTATAATCACTAATATTAAAATTTAAATATAACTGAGGTGAGAATGGACAAATCAAAGATAAATATAAATACCCAGAATGTAGTGCAGAAAGATATCCTTTTTTTAATGAAAGAGAATGCGTTTGCAAGGTCCAACATAGGTCTAGTAGAATTTCCAGAGACACAAATAAGGGAGAAGAAGCAATATATTCCAAAGATGATGACAAAAGTTCCCAGAGTTAAAGAAAGACAAGTGTTTTCAAATTGGAAAGATAAACTAGTACCAAACAGATCAAAAGCAAAGATTAAAAAAAGAGATTGCATAATAGACTTTTCATCAGCAATAGATAGAAGATAATGGAAGCATATCTTAGTGTGAGGGAAAATTACTATTAACCTGGATTTCCATACTCAGTTCGAGAGGGAGAGCAAAGTAAAGATAGCCGACAAATAAAATGATGAAAGATTACAAACACTTACTGGTTCTTACTGAAAGATGTTAGGTTGTGTGGACAGTGTGTAAAAGGTATGTAGAGGCATTTGTCGGCATTCTTTGATTTACGTAAGTATTGATTTTTAAAACCTTAGAGTGAGATAGTTAAAAGTTTAAGTGTAACTAATCTCATGGAAAGCAGACTGGAGAGTTCCAAATTAAATGATTTAGATAGTCTCGGTTTTCAGGAGGATAGAAATTTTAATTAATTTTATATCTTAAGTCACATAAGCATGTTAAAATTTTGAGCATAACCACATAACATGAGGCACTTAGCTTCCAGTTTGGGGAGCTGGGGGCAGTAGGAATCAAGAAAACTTGGTCAGTCTAGCACAAGGCAAAAATAGAGGGGAATGAAAAGCAGAATTGGAGGAAGTGGAAAGAAAAAGCCTAAATATCAGTGAACAATGAATTGATTAAGCTTTTTTGTTAAAAGATATTTTCTGTTTGACTTTTTTTCCATTAAAAGAGACACTTCCTAGCATAATTACACAGAAATATTAAAAATATCAGGGAAATAACAACTAAAAGAAAATGAATGTGGAATATAGTCTGAGACATTCTACATCTAGGCAAATTTTGTTTAAAATGCTAAAGTGGCAAATGCATTTTGAATACTCTTCAGATTATCTTGAGTTTGCTTTCTTCTTGCATCCTTTAGAATGACAGTCTGCAGACTTTTTCTTAAAGGACAAAATTGCAAATATTTCAGGTTTGCAGACCAAAGATCTCTGTCACCACTTACCAGTTCTGCCCCTAGGATCATGAAAACAGCAGTAGACAATTCTTAAATGGTATGACAGTGTTTCAATAAAACTTTATTTACAAAAATAGGCAGCCTGCCTAATTAGGAGGTTAGCAGTTCAAGACCAGAGTTTGTAGACCTCTGCTTTAGCCAGAGTTCCTTTCAAATTGATATATATAAGCATTCTTCCCAAATTAGTTGAGATTAAGAATAAATATCAGTTGAGAAAGAAGAACTAACTCCTCTGCAGGTAATCCATTTCATAGTTCTAAAAAGTTTTGTTTTGTTATGAATAATAGAAAAAAGTTTTGAACAGGAATTGCAATTGGTCTCAGCTATTTTGTTTGATGTGCTATGTAAAACATTAATTACAATTAAATAAAATATAAAAGAGTAGTATTGGTAACTATTTAGGAGTGTTTGTATCATTATAACCTTTACCAACCAGACTAATTTAGAATAATTTGTCAGGACTTTTTTAGTCATACTGAAAAAAGAAAAATAGATTAAACTTTATCCATTATGTAATTTCAGCCATATTTTCTTGATATTAGATTACAGTTACAGATCCTGACTTGATAGAGAAATCCAACTTAAATAGACAGTTCCTATTTCGTCCTCATCACATACAGGTATGTTGCTATTCTGTTTCAAATTTAAATCGTGTATTATACAAAAAAGAGTAGAGTTTCCTTTTAATAAATAGAAAACAGTGATTGAATAATCATGTGTTATTTTATTAGAATCTTTCAAATTATCAATTAATGGGTATGACAAAGGGGAAAATATTAAATTATCTAATGCACAATATTGATCTTTGCATTGATTTTGGAATTGAAACCTGAGTTGTGAAACAGGCAGTATTTTTTTCATTTTGTAATCACCAGGGTATGTTGACATTTAATTTTAGAAAGTAAGTATATAGAAATATGTTTCTAATTTGAGGTTTTGGTAGTTAGCAAATTTAGCACTGTCTTTTTTTATCTTTGTCATAAATCAGATAAAAGTTTAGCACTTAGAATTTTTGTGCTCTTTTGATCATTTGACCAACATCCCTTTTTATGGTAAAATAAAGCTTGTTCTCGATTTTCTCCTGGTTTATAGAGATCAAAATATTTAAGTCAGGAAAAAAAGCATTTTTTTTAACTGTTACCATTTTATTATATACCTTTCTACCAGCAATATATGAGAATTCCAGTGACTCCACATCCTTGTCAGCACTTATTTTTTTGTTTGTTTGTTATTATACTTTAAGTTCTAGGGTACATGTGCACAATGGGCAGGTTTGTTACATATGTATATATATGCCATGTTGGTGTGCTGCACCCATTAATGTCATTTACATTAGGTATATCTCCTAATGCTGTCCCTCCCCCCTTCCCCCACCCCACAACAGGCCCCGGTGTGTGATGTTCACCTTCCTGTGTCCAAGTGTTCTCATTGTTCAGTTCCTACCTATGAGTGAGAACGTGCGTTATTTGTTTTTTTGTCTTTGCGATAGTTTGCTGAGAATGATGGTTTCCATCTGCATCCATGTCCCTACAAAGGACATAAACTCATCCTTTTTTATGGCTGCATAATATTCCATGGTGTATATGTGCCACTTTTTCTTAATCCAGTCTATCACTGATGGACATTCGGGTTGGTTCCAAGTCTTTGCTATTGTGAATAGTGCCACAATAAACATACATGTGCATGTGTCTTTATAGCAGCATGATTTATAATCCTTTGGGTATATACCCAGTAATGGGATGGCGGGGTCAAATGATATTTCTAGTTCTAGATCCCTGAGGAATCGCCACACTGTCTTCCACAATGGTTGAACTAGTTTACAGTCTCACCAACAGTGTAAAAGTGTTCCTATTTCTCCACATCCTCTCCAGCACCTGTTGTTTCCTGACTTTTTAATGATCGCCATTCTAACTGGTGTGAGATGGTGTCTCATTGTGGTTTTGATTTGCATTTCTCTGATAGCCAGTGATGATGAGCATTTTTTCATGTGTCTGTTGGCTGCATAAATGTCTTCTTTTGAGAAGTGTCTGTTCATATCCTTCGCCCACTTTTTGATGGGGTTGTTTGTTTTTTTCTTGTAAATTTGTTTGAGTTCTTTGTAGGTTCTGGAATTAGCCCTTTGTCAGAGGAGTAGATTGCAAAAATTTTCTCCCATTCTGTAGGTTGCCTGTTCACTCTGATGATAGTTTCTTTTGCTGTGCAGAAGCTCTTTAGTTTAATGAGATCCCATTTGTCAATTTTGCTTTTGCATTAGTCAAGCAAATTTGCTTTTACTTTAGAAATGTTTCAGCCAGGCGCAATAGCTCACGCCTATAATCCCAGCACTTTGGGAGGCCAACACAGGATTGCTTGAGGTTTGGAGTTCAAGACCAGCCTGGGCAACCTAGGGAAAAACCAGTTCTACCCTAAAAAAAGTTTTTGAAAAACTAAAACAAAACAGATTTTTCTTTATTGTTCAACAACTCATTGCAAGTCTTAGTAAACTAAGCTTAGTAATGTCATGAACAGAAAGTAACTAAAACAGATGTCATAGTTAATCTAATTGCCTCCCTTATCCAAATATAATAGAGAAAGTAACAGGGTCCATTGTGAACTAAAATATGTTGCAAAGTGTCTTTTCTTAACTTGGTGCATTTTACTTAGGAACTATAAAGGCCTGTTCATTCTTATTTTACTGAGTTCTAACAAAGTTTTCATTTGTTTGTACATTTAGAACACTGATAAGTGAAATGTGTCAACCTAACAATGTGAGAAGAAACAGAAATACCGTTAAAACTAGATGTGTGAATTTAAAAAATGGCCTAAAGATGTTTAGTGCCAAAGCAAATGCAAATGAACAGTGACAGCACCTGAAATAACAATCACGATTTAAAAATAGTCACTAAATCATTTTAAGAAAATAAAGAATAAATTATATTTAGAGTGCAGTAGTACCCCTTAGCAGTGGTATCCACAGTTTTGCTTGCCACAGTTTCAGTTAACCGTGGTCAACCAGGATCTAAAAATAGATGAGTACAGTGTAGTACAATAAAATTCTGTATTTTGAGAGGGAGAGACCATACTCATATGACTTTTATTAATGTATATTGTTCTGATTGTTTTGTTTTATTGTTATTAATCTCTTACTATGCCTAATTTATAAATTAAACTTTATCATAGATATGTGTGTATATGAAAATACATAGTATATATAGGGTTTGTTACTGTCTGTAGTTTTAGGCATTTTTGGGGGTTGTGGAAGGCAGATGAGGAACTACTGTACTCTTTTTTATAAAACTGAAACACAAATAATTTCTGAAAATATATCCATCCAGAACTAATGATAATTTTAAAATGTTAGTACCAAACTGTTAAACTCTCATATCTCTAAGAACTTATCTTCTGCAGAGTTGATTTCCAATGTTTTACTGAGTGTGTTATCATTTTTTTCTAAGCACTTACCAAGTCAAACATTATTACTAGGGAAAAGTTGTGATTGGACTTTTAACTTTTTTTAAGAACTGTAAAGTACTTAACTATGAGATAGAAGGTGTTTAGATTTTTATTAATAATTTGTAAATTATTTAGACTAATGTGCATTATTAATGTAGTGTGATTACAATGAATGTAATTTCTACAAGCCAAAAATGAAAACTGGTCTCATTACTCTCTGTCTCTCTCTCTCTCTCTCTCTGTCTCTCTCTCTCTCTCTCTCTATATATATATATATATATATATGTATGTATAGACTATGATTGAACTTAACACATTCTTATCACTCTGGAGTATATAGAAAAATCATAGTCCTTTTTTTTTGTTGTTGTTTAACATATTCCTTCTGCTTATATTATTTGTTTAGAAACCTAAAAGCTATACTGCTGCTGATGCTACTCTGAAAATAAATTCTCAGATAAAGATAGATGCACACCTGAACAAAGTATGTCCAGCCACTGAGACCATTTACAATGATGAGTTCTGTACTAAACAAGATATAATTATTACAGCATTAGATAATGTGGAAGCCAGGAGATATGTAGACAGGTATGTTCTTGAAATTCATGTTTCTACAGTATTATCTTTAGTTTTCACTTCTGTTTCCCACATTACTTATTGAAAAGTTATGGAATTACCTGCTTATTCTTTATGTTTCTAATGTAGTACTCCTCAAACACAAACCCTTTGATGATTTCCCATTATACTTAGAATGAAATTCAAAATCTGTATCATAACCTAAATGTTTTTCATGGAGTACTTTTCCCTGTTCACCACGCCAGTGTAACATTTACCAGTCTTCTTTGGCTCCCTTATTCTAGCTGTATGTGCTTTTCAGTTTTTTGGCTGTCTTTTGTTTTTTCTGAATTATAAAGCTATTTTTAATACTTTGGGTGAAGTCCCACTGCAATAGAAAACACAGAAGGGGTAACTTCTTCACCCCAAGAAATGGCCCAAGGGAGAGAGGCTACCTGACAAGGAAGCACAAAATGTACCCATTGCAAACTCAGGGCAAAGGGAATGCCATCAGTACTGGGTCCTCTGAGCACTAGAGGAGGAAACATGATTGTGGTGGGACTGGCTTTAGGCCCATGGGCGAAGGGCACGGGGGTGGACACCAAACCATACAGCTACTTAGGTTCCTCCTCCTTCTCGTTTTCCCTTTTCTGCTTCACCTCCATGATCTCCAAGTCCCTCTCCTTGTGGGCAGCAGGAGAAAATCCATCGTCTTGGCACTTTCCCTTAACTGTTTGCGTATTCTTCTGTTTTTTCATATTCTTCTACCAGGCGAGCTCATGCTGGTTACCTGCAGCAGCTCTGACCTGCCCCCGCTCCTTCTGTCTGTGCCTTTAAGTTCTTACCAGGCCTTCAGCACTTTTTTACCTCAGGGACTTACACATAATATTCTTCAGCCTCAGAAAGTTCTGTTTTTCTTGCTTTAACATTCCTGATCTGTAATCTCCCTATCTACTCTTCATCTAGTTTAGCTTTTTTTCTTCATCCTTTCAGTTTCAGCCTAAATTTCTTTATCCAAACAGACTTTCTTTTCCCCCAAATTCTAAATTAGATCCTCCTATGGTGATTTTCATAGCACCATGTACTTTTTCCTTCATGGCACTTACTTTTACTGGTATACATATTTATTTAATGTTTGTGTCCTCACTAAATCATTCATCCAGGGACCATTTACTTTCCATCATTGTATCCTCAGTGCCCAACACATGATGTCATTTATTAAGTATTCCTTAAATAAGTAGATGAATGAATGACTTTAAATGTGTTCACCTTACGTGTTTATATGACTCCTCAATGTTAGGGTGTAGAGCAGATATATTATCAGAGGATAATTTATCAGTTGAAAAATATGAAAAGTATGTAATCTTGGGTCAAAGAGGGGAAGAAAATAAAACTTTAAGAAATAAAAATTTGTAGAATATGAGTATTATAAGTATTGAGAAAGAAGATTAATAATATTTGGGATAAAGAAAATATTGAGAAGAGATAGTGTGATATAACTTGTAGTTAGAAAATAACCAAAGAAGAAATATAAAGCAAGGGAAAAGGAGTAATACTGTTAGGAATTAACCGAGAGACAGAGGTTAAGAAAGTCCCAGATTTAGGGTACGAGTAGTAGGAAAGAGAGAAATTACTAGATTGAACAACAAAATTTGTATATATAGTGCAGAATAGGGGAACAGGATTGATCCACTGTTTGATAGTACTGTATCTGTTTTCCTAAAATACTGCATTCAAGAAGTGATCAGTATATGAAATGGTCAATAGAAAGTAGTAGGGGCCGGGCGCGGTGGCTCAAGCCTGTAATCCCAGCACTTTGGGAGGCCGAGACGGGCGGATCACTAGGTCAGGAGATCAAGACCATCCTGGCTAACACGGTGAAACCCCGTCTCTACTAAAAAATACAAAAAACTAGCCGGGCGAGGTGGCGGGCGCCTGTAGTCCCAGCTACTCAGGAGGCTGAGACAGGAGAATGGCCCGAACCCGGGAGGCGGAGCTTGCAGTGAGCTGAGATCCGGCCACTGCACTCCAGCCTGGGAAACAGAGCGAGACTCCGTCTCAAAAAAAAAAAAAGAAAGTAGTAGGATGTCCTTTCGTTACATTGTTATTGCTCACTTTTTTGTTTTTTACTTGTTATCTTTTCAAATAGTCGTTGCTTAGCAAATCTAAGGCCTCTCTTAGATTCTGGAACAATGGGCACTAAGGGGCACACTGAAGTTATTGTACCACATTTGACTGAATCTTACAATAGTCATGTAAGTGAATCAGTATTTTGAAATAAATGTCTTCTTTATGTCTTATAATTTTTGTCTTGATCAACAATTTGATTTAGCTTTCCTAATCCTTCTGAGTTTGCTGTGCCAATGATGTTCATACATATGTGCATGTACATTTTTTAAAATATAATTGAACTTTTTTTTAATTATCAGAATTTTGTGTCTGTTGTTTCTGGAGCATTATTCTACTGTTTACTATTTATTTCTCAGAGCTGCTTAGTTTTCTAATACCCTTTGAGTTTAAGATTGTTTGATAAGAACAAACTATTAGATTGAGACTAGAACCGTCAACAAAGACATAAAATTTTATTCGCTTGCTGAGACGAAGTGAGCCATTTTAGATTAGGTAAACCAATAAACCTAGGCAAAATGTACTCTATAATAGAATGTGGATTTCTTCAGTGGTACTTTATCCACAAAAAAACGACTTAGGTATTTGCCATTTATTTAATTTATCAGTTGAAAAATATGAAAAGTATGTAATCTTGGGTCAAAGAGGGGAAGAAAATAAAACTTTAAGAAATAAAAATTTGTAGAATATAAGTATTATAAGTATTGAGAAAGAAGATTAAGAAACCTGTATCAAGCATTGAGGACGTATTTCTGCTCCCAGATGTTTTTCTCTATGGAAAAACTCATGCTTTTCCGAGCATTATACTGGGTATTCCTGAATTACTTTTCAAAGCAGGGAGTGTTATAAAACTTTACATTTCACCTTGATTCATGAAGAAAAAAATGATTTATAGATGATGGTGTGTCATGAGTACTACATGGTGCTTTAAATGAGTACACAAATAATAAATAAGATTCATGTTTGGCATTACATAGCTGTTAACAAATAGGTTAAATGTCAAAAGAATTAACTTCTCTTATTGCCTAAGAGAGCGAAGATATAAAAATGTCTGGTTGGATTTTATTTATCTTTGGATTTTTAATAGCCTTAAAGCTCAAAAGTAAATTAAACCAATAAAAATTGGTCATTGCTGCTCCTTAAGTATCTGTGGTCATATTTTATAAATTAGCGGGATCCCCCAGAAGAGGAAATACCATTTTGTACTCTAAAATCCTTTCCAGCTGCTATTGAACATACCATACAGTGGGCAAGAGATAAGGTAAAAATTCCTTTTTAAATTTATTTTCTTTGAAGTGAGAAAGAAGATATTTCTGACTTTAAACAGCCTTCTATTTGTAATTTTTTTTCCTTTTCTCTGTTACAGTTTGAAAGTTCCTTTTCCCACAAACCTTCATTGTTTAACAAATTTTGGCAAACCTATTCATCTGCAGAAGAAGTCTTACAGGTAAAAATCACTACATTTTAATACAAGCTTAACACTTTGTGTCAGTGTAATCTTATTTTCAAGTCATCTACAAGTGATTTATTTTACCTCCATAAAGAGTGATTGTATATAAAAAGTGAAATGATACATAAGGAATCTTGAAATTAGGTCACAAATTATCCTTTTGGTTTGGTTGAACTATACAGAATTGTCAATATTTGACCATGTTTAACTCACAAAACAGCAATTCATATGGTTCAAGCTAATAAAGATATGATAGTTATGATAGAAAGGCTACAAATAATAGAAGGGCTTTTATTAAGCCCTTTGGAAAGAAAAAATTGAGGTAAGTTCTAGTTAAAATTTCATGAGGGAACAATTATCTCCAAGACTTATTACTCTTATAGTGAAGGCAACTTTAAAGATGTTTTCTCACTTTCTTTTAATCTTAATATAATAACAAGGCCCACTTTTTAGTATCAAATATTCATAGCACTTTTAGTAAGTACATATATTATAGTACTAATAACTTAGAGCTAGGAAAATATGAGGATAATTTGTAAGATAAGAAATCAGAGTTAAAATTTTGTGTGCTATTTCTTACCTTTCCCCTTCTCAAACAGAAAAGAAAGAGCTTAAAGAAGGAAGGAAAAGGAGCTTGAGGTGAAAAAAGAAAAGCATAAAACACATGAGTTGACACTTCAAACTTAGGCAAACTTTTGTTGGGGGATGTATATATGTTTGTAATTGGAAATATGTTGATTTTTTTTTTTTTTCTCTCCCATTCTAGAAGATACAGAGTGGACACAGTTTAGAAGGCTGTTTTCAAGTTATAAAGTTACTTAGCAGAAGACCTAGAAATTGGTCCCAGTGTGTAGAATTAGCAAGATTAAAGTTTGAAAAATATTTTAACCATAAGGTAAGTATGCATTGTGAGACATTAAGAAAAGGTCTGACCTTGGCTTTTTTAGTTATTAACAAATTAATTTCATTGACCTGAAATGTATATTCTTTCTTTTGGCAAGCTTTTCAGAAGTTAGTAGTAAGTTAAATGAGAACACATGCTAATCTAAAAGAAGTTTATTAAGAATAGAAGAAGCAAGAAACTGAGAAAATAGGCGTATTCAGTCAGAAATTTTGCTGGGATTTTGCTATTTCCACCCATATCCGATAATCACTCTTTATGTCTGTTTCCCCATCTGTAAAATAGAAATAATAAATTTGTACCTAATACGTAAGGTAGTGGTGAGGATAAAAGGAGGTAAGACTTATAAAGCATTTAGAACAGAGCCTGGCACATAAAAAATTACTAAATATTAGCTGTTATTCTTACCTCCAGTTAAATATGGTTGCTGAAATGTGTGTTGCATTCTCTTTAGTCTTTCCCTCTCTTTAGGCTCTTTAGTTCATCTTCCTTAAAAACAACTTGGAAAAAAAACAAACAAAAAAACAAAAACGGGGTTTCCCTATGTTTTCCAGGCTGGCCTGGAACTCCAGGGCTCAAGTGATCCCTGCCTCAACCCTTAAGTAGCTGAGACTGCATGTACACGCCACCACACCCCACTTAAAAATATTTCATTTTTACTACTTCTGTCTTTTTACTTTCGTCAGAGCTCTACTTCTTGGAAAAGTGGTCTGTACTACTCAATGTTACCACTTCCTCACCCAGTAAATTTGACTTCTTTGCTCATTACTCTGCAAATTGTTCTTAACATGGTTATCAGTGACCCCTTTTTCAAAAATCTAAGGGACTCTTTAGTTCTTATCTTCTGTGATTTTTTTTTAAACTTTTTTTATAATGAAAAATATTCAGCCATAGAAATGTAGAGGAAATAGTATAATGAACCCTAATGTAATTGTCATTTACCTATCACCCAGGTTTAGCAGTTATCAGTTCATAGATAAATCTTGTTTCATCACCGTCCCCGTTCATTCTTACCTTCCCCTAGGTGATTTTTGAAGCAAATCTCAAACATGTTATCCTTTCAAAAATACAAAGTACTGTGTGTTTTTTCTGGTTTTGTTATTTAAGTATTAGCTCTTTTAAAAGAACAGAATGACATGTAAAATATGCCACCATTTATATAAAAAGGAGTGAAGTAATCTACATTTGTTTGCTATAGATACCACCTCCCAATAAACCTACAAATAGTGATAGAAAATGATATTTTAGATTTTTCATTTATGAGGGGCAGTGACAGGAGAATGGACAGATGGAATACAAGGGTGGTAGGGAGACTTCACTGTGTATCTTTTAATGTGTTTTGATTTTTGAAGCATGTGAGTATATTTACTACACACAACATTTAAAAATTTTTTTTAATATTTTTTCTCAGATAATATTAAGTAGTGGGTGTCTTTAATTCATTTTTTTTTTTTCTTTAGGCTCTTCAGCTTCTTCACTGTTTCCCTCTGGACATACGATTAAAAGATGGTAGTAAGTATAAATGTTGAGAATAAATTTTAATGACATTTATTACTGGCTACATACATTGAAAATAACATTTATATCTTTTTGCCAGGTTTGTTTTGGCAATCACCAAAGAGGCCACCCTCTCCAATAAAATTTGATTTAAACGAACCTTTGTAAGTATTTATATTTAGTTTGATATGTATCCTTTATTATGTATTTCTTCACTGTAAATTCCTTAACTGTACATTGCAGAATGAAACCCTTAGGCTCTTTAATGTTAAATTATTTCATCCCTGTTCATTTAAGAGTTAACAAGTCATTCTGACCAGGAAAGCCAGCCACAACCCTTCCCACACAAATGTGAATCCATTCATTTACATGGTAAATAACCTCATTATTTATAATAAATATCTAAAGTGAAACCAAAATCACCTTTTTTACTTTATCCATAAATTAGTAAAATGACAATTTGTTTTTACATTTAATGAAATCAAATATAAGAATCTTCAGTTATATGGAGGAAGAAATAATTACTACTGAATAACTCCCTAAATCTCAAATTATTTTCAAAGGAGTTGGTCTTTGTGTGAATACCTCGAAGCACTATATTAGATACACATTAGATTCACACTTGTGTGTGTGTGTATGTATATTTTTTCTATTTCTTTCTTTTTTGTTGTTTTTTTGAAAGAGACAAGGTCTCACTATGTGGCCCAACCTGGTCTTGAATTCCTAGGCTCAAGCAACCCTCCCACCTCAGCTTCCCAAGTAGCTGGGATTACATGTGCATCCCACCAACCGCACCCAAACTTATGTATATATATTTTTAAACACTTAGCTTGCCTTCACTAACCTTACTTTCAGCAGATAAGTCCATGCTTAATTTTCTTATCTGGTGGTGGTTTTAGGCTTCCAGTCACCTTATGTTGGACTGCTTCTTCTATAAGACTTTCTTTTTTTGTTTTTAAATAAACACATTTACTTAGTGTGAACTTGATATATACTCATTAAGAACAAATATATAATATTTCTTATGACTTAAAATGCATTATTGTTCACTGGTCTGAGTTTTCTGCTTCTGTCCGCTCACTCTTCTTCCCAAGGTAGTCATGATCACTACCTGAATGTTAAGTGTTTTCGAGAATAACTGTTCGATGTTTTGTGTTTTATAACTTCTGTAGTATTTTGGTGTAGACCAGAATATTTTTGTCTAACTTAAAAAAAAAAAATCCTGAAATAATAATTCTGTGGTTATATTTCTTCAAACTACATTTAAAGGCTATAGTTCGTAATGAGGTAAATATCATCTTTAAAACTGTGCATTCAAATTTTGCTTTATTTTTTAATTTCAAAAGGCACCTCAGTTTCCTTCAGAATGCTGCAAAACTATATGCTACAGTATATTGTATTCCATTTACAGAAGAGGTAAGATATTCTTTAAGCCTTAGCAAGTGGTGCAAAACCAAATTAGAATTAGATGACTGATGTACTAATTGCATCAAAACATGTTTATTTGTTGTAAGAATCATTCTTTTGATGTAGAATTTTTATTGTATTTTTACCCATACTAACATAATGGAAGCTGAAAGCTCATTGCAGTATTGCTAAGTAGAAGTCGGATTTTTCTTTCTGAGTTGAAGCAGTGAAAAACAGCATTATTTGTTAAAAGCAGTTAAACTTTGTTTTAAAAATATTTATAACTTGCTTATCAGCTTCAGTTATCCTAGTTATTCTAAAAAGCCACAGCAAACCATTTCATCGCAATTTTGAAATATTTCAAAGATATTTTCTTTGTTAACATTTGTTTGATTTATTTTGTAATAATTTACGTGCTTTTCAGGCAATCTGAAAATGCTCCCTTATATTGACATTTCTTACTTTAGCATCATACTCATTCTCTTAAACATCATGTTCATTGACTAACATCTAAAGAGCCTAATACGGTTTTATGTGAGAGGCATCTGTCTCTTTTCTTCACAAATGCATGTTCTAGCTAAGTAAATTGCTGTACTTTCAGGTGCACTGAACAGAGAAATATGAATCAGATCCCATAATTAATATTGGCTATTTTGGATTCAGATAACAATGTCTGTTTTAGATTAATCCTTTTTGGAATTCATACAAATAAACTGTAAATATTTGGTAAAAATAGTGGCATTCAGTCTGATATTCTTTTTGGGAAAATCAGTGGTAATTTCGTGGTAAGTGTGGTAATTGACCTCAAAAGCACTATGTCTCAGCTTTTGCCAAACAGCTTCTCAATGATAAATGTAAATGCAACCCATAGCTTTAAATTCATCTAAGTTCATCTTTAATCATTTAAATATTTCCCTCCTTCATAAGGTATGAATTCCATTTACTTATTTTACTTACTGAGTATAACTTACTTCAGGAAACTTTGTAAAACATTAAAAACATAAAACATAAAGCTAAGGGAATTAAAACTGACTGATCATGTCACTCAGTTTTATATTTACAACCAGTCCTAAAACTGCCTTTTAAAAAATTTGCAGAAGGACTAAAATTTCAAGTTTGTTGACTAATAAGTACTTTTTTACCCCTTACCTTCTCCTCCCCCATAACCTTTATGGGGGGATATTTTTATAGAAATAAAGGTAAATGTCTCAAATGGATGTCTACATATTCAGATAATGAAGTGTTCACATATTGTAATATGATTAAGGACCTTTTGTAGGATATTTTTAGCTTTAGAATTTAGAAATAGAAGAAAATGTTTGTTGGTAAAATTACTTTTTTAAAAACAGGACTTATCAGCAGATGCCCTCTTGAATATTCTTTCAGAAGTAAAGATTCAGGAATTCAAACCTTCCAATAAGGTATGTTTAAAAATTCATTCATTCAGCAAATAGTTTGGGAATTTGGACTTGTATGAAGTCCCATTCTAAACCTGGAGAATATCACAACGAATGGTTCTTGCTCTTGCTCTTGTCAGTGCAACTTGAGTTTAAAGTAGATTTGTCAGAATCACAAACTGTTGATTAATACTTATTTTATTCTAGTGTGGAATTTTTAAAAAGATCAGTATGGAGTTAGATTGTATGAGTTACTCAGTAAATATTTTTTATGCCCACTATATCATCGTGGGTATTAAAAGTTAGATATATTGGAGTTCTGTCAGTGAACAAGATACATAAAGATCCCTGTTGTTATAGAGCTTACATACCTGTGTGAGAAGATAGATAATAAAATACATACATGAATAATATCATAATACTTTCTAAAGGAACATATAAAATAAATTGGACCACTGATTAATAATATGAAAATATAGAGAGAAAATATTTTCTGTTTGTAATTTGATAAAACAGTTAAATGCTAACCAAACTTAGATGCAGGAAATAACATTAATAAAATTATATTCATATATTCAAAGGTTGTTCAAACTGATGAAACTGCAAGGAAACCGGACCACGTTCCTATTAGCAGTGAAGATGAGAGGAATGCAATTTTCCAACTAGAAAAGGCTATTTTATCTAATGAAGCCACCAAAAGTAAGGGAAAATCTTTATAAAAATGTTTTAAACTGGGTGAGTTTTCATTTCCACCAAGCTCTACACCTAAGAATTTATAGAATTTAATCACAGCAACAATAATGATGATAGTATTGATTGATTTCATGATCATATTAAAGTCAGTATTCATCTTTAACTGTGACTAAATTCATCATTTTCCCCACTATTGCCCTCAAAGATTGAAGTCTAATTCTCCAAATCACATTAACTGCTTTGTTATTGTTTTTCTGATTGTTTTAGTTCTTTAGATGGTGAGCAGGTCTAAAACCATGAATGAATAGCTCTGTTTTTAAGGAATTAAAAATTCAGTTTAATGGGGTCCTTGTGGAAACTAATCTTTGGACAGACCCATTTAAATCACTTTAGGATAAAGAACTATAAACAGAACTCTTCTTAGGTTCTTAGTCTTCATAATTACTGATAGGGAATACAGAATGACCTATATACACTTCCTTGCTAGATGGACTTAAATATAAAAATACAGGAAAACTGAATTTTTAATTCCTTACAAACAGCCATACACTCATCTGTTTTGACCTGCTCACCGTCTTTTAGTTTTATAAATTAGTGGTTCCCAAACTTTTGGGATTTTAAGCATGGACCAGTAGAATTTCAGGAAAAATAACCCAGAATAACAATAATTAGAAGGATCTTGGGAACCACTGATCTACAAAGATTTCAGAAATTACTTATTTTAATTTGACCAACTGACCCTATTCTTAGTTACCAGAGAGAAAATGTTTCAGAGTAGGATTTGTGGAATAAATTTTTGAACTATACCTAATGTTGGCTTTTTTTTGTAAACCACTTGATAGCAGATGTGCAGTATACAACTTTCTTATTTTGCTATTTATTAAAAATTTTTTTTAAATACAGAAACGTCTCTAGTTTAGTGGCATTAAAACTATCATTTTCTTTCTTTTTATTTTTTAATTTTAAAAATTGGCTCTCTTTAATCATGGGAAAAGCTGTTTTCATGGCCTTCAATATTAGTTGCCTGGATTATTCTTATGTTTCTCAGTCATGTAAAAATATAGAAAGGAATCTTTAAAAGTTAGTAAACCCACATTGCTTTTTACCTATTAAAATCTTTACTGCTTGCTATGGAACTTTGTTTTTCTGGTTGGTGTAATCAGGTGACCTTCAGATGGCAGTGCTTTCATTTGAAAAAGATGACGATCATAATGGACACATAGATTTCATCACAGCTGCATCAAATCTTCGTGCCAAAATGTACAGCATTGAACCAGCTGACCGTTTTAAAACAAAACGCGTAGCTGGTAAAATTATACCTGCTATTGCAACAACCACTGCTACAGTTTCTGGCTTGGTAAGTTTATTATTCCTTGAATAAAAATGCTCCTTTTTCATTGCTTTTTCCCTGACTTCCCCATCATACCAACCGAGTCACTCAGAGATATTAGAGAGGGAAGGATAGATATTAGATCACATAATTTAAAATTTCAAAATACTTTCTGAAAATGCAGTCATCTGTATTTTGAAGTTTTACCTAAATATGCATTGTTTTGTTTTTGAGATGGAGTCTAGCTCTATCGCCCAGGCTGGAGTACAGTGGCGCGATCTCGGCTCACTGCAAGCTCTGCCTCCTGGGTTCACACCATTCTCCTGCCTCAGCCTCCCTAGTAGCTGGGACTACAGGCGCCCGCCACCATGCCCGGCTAATTTTTTTTGTATTTTTAGTAGAGATGGGGTTTCACCTTATTAGCCAGGATGGTCTCGATCTCCTGACCTCATGATCCACCCGTCTCGGCCTCCCAAAGTGCTGGGATTACAAGCGTGAGCCACCACGCCCGGCCCTAAATACACATTTTTAAAATAAAAAATAAGCTCAAGATAGATTATAATTTTTCTTATAGGCAATAATCTTTTCACTGATCTTTACGTCTTTCATACAAAGCAGGTACTCTGTTTTTCTTGAATAAAATGAACTTCCCTAATCTGTATTCATAATGATTCAGAATCTTTAAGTGCGGCCCTAGTTATTATACCATATTACATCATTACTCTATATAATTATCTGTGAAGCTATGTAGTTATTTATCCCTGTATTAAGTGATTTTAGACCATTGTGTTTTTTGAGTTCTAGCATGTGCTTTCAAAGTAGGGAGAATATATGGTTGAATTAATATTTTTTTAAATAACTGTTACCATGTATAGAGCAGGTTGAAGATTTGAAAGTATAAAATATACTAAAAGTATAGAGAGCTATAAGAAATTTACATTAGTCTTATAGCTGCTTTTACTATCTACAGAGAAATGCTTGAAAACTTGTGAAAATTGAATAGATCCAATTAAAAATCACAGATAGTTTTAGGCTATTTATATTATCAGATCACCTTCTTTTATCTAGGTTGCCTTGGAGATGATCAAAGTAACTGGTGGCTATCCATTTGAAGCTTACAAAAATTGTTTTCTTAACTTAGCCATTCCAATTATAGTATTTACAGAGACATCTGAAGTAAGGAAAACTAAAATCAGGTATGTATGAAGGTCTATTTCTCTTGTATAATGAGAATGAAATAAAATACCTTTTAAAAGGAAAAAATACTAGCTTCACCTCTTTTTTTCCTCTATTGTGTATGTGTAAATTCTTGCCATCACTTCAAGATCAGCTCAAACCTCATCTTCATTAAATATTTCTGACTAAAGAAGCCAAAGAACCCTTACAATACTTTATCTGCCACATTATTTGGCATTACGGTTTCATCTGTGTCTGCTAGATGAATTAGAAGGTACCCTGGTGTCTGACTGTGTAGGTCATGAGATTTAGAAGAATTCCATAAGATTGTTACAAAGCAGAACAATTCCTGGGCCTGTACTTTTTAGTTTTCAGACTGGCAACAACCAAAAACTTGAAAAAAACCTATCTTAGCAAGGGTGTGAGAAAGGAGGCACTCTCATACATTACTAATGAGAGTACAAAATTGTCCAGTAACAGGGGACTGGAACATCCACACAATGAAACCCATGCAGCCATTTTAAAAAGAGAGAGACAACTCTGTCTTGCTAAAACATACGGATTTATAATGAGACACTGGAAGGATCAGCAAGGTACTGATTAAAAGTGGTTATCTATATGATGTGATAGGGAAATAAGATTGGAATATTTTAGAAGGTATATTATCCTTTATTTCCCCACATTAATTTCTAGCCCAATCACAAATAATGGACTTCTGGAAGTGTTTTTTTGTTTTGTTTTGTTTTGTTTTCTTGTATCATCACTAAAGGGAAGAAAATTACAATGTTTCTGTTCTGAATATTTTTCTGTAACAGAAATGAAATATCATTTACAATTTGGGATCGATGGACTGTACATGGAAAAGAAGATTTCACCCTCTTGGATTTCATAAATGCAGTCAAAGTGAGATACTTTTATTCATTTGGTTCATTAGTAGCTTTATGTCTGTTTTCTGTTTTGTTTTTATTTATAATTTTATTGGAAGTTATATTTAGCATGAATTTGCTTTTTTTACTGGTCATAAAACATTGTTTAGGAACAATGTTAAATAAGCATTTTATGTTTGAGCGAGGCTTTCATCGTTTCTTTTTTGGATATTCACTTTTAGGAGAAGTATGGAATTGAGCCAACAATGGTGGTACAGGGAGTCAAAATGCTTTATGTTCCTGTAATGCCTGGTCATGCAAAAAGATTGAAGTTAACGTAAGTATTCAACGTTATATGCAGCAAATAACAAGAATTTAAAAATAAGTTGTTGCACACTAAAAAATTAAATATAGTGGTTACTATAATTCAGATAAAAGCATTAGTCTTGTCTAATGACGTTAATAAAGACAGTAAATCTGCCAGGTGAAGGCCAACAGACTACTTCTCGAGATTCAGCTCTTCAGTTAATAGGTTTAGAAACCTGATTTTGTCAGTACACTTAAGTAAAAGTGGATCCGTCTCTTATGTTGAAACACTTAATGACCAGGCTTATGAGGAATCAAATTGCCAAATCACATTTATTCAACAAATTATTGTTTAAGGTGCCAGCTGTGTGCCAGGTACTGTTCTAGTCATTAGGGAGATAGCAGTTAGCAAACCACAGTTCTTTCCTACTTAAGGAGTTTGCATAACAATAAGGCAAGTATGTTAAGTGGTAGTAAGTATTATGGAGAAATTAAAGAAGAATAAAGGGAAAAGGAAATATGGGAAATACGGGGAGTTGGGGGTGTTGAGTTGCTATATTATACTGAGTAGTTTCCCTCTCTGCCTGTCGTAGTCTCACCTGTTAAGGTGGCATTTGAGCAGAGACTGAAAGCAAGAAAGAACCAAAGAAAACTAAAGTCTTTGTAGCGGTCTGCAAGGCTCTAAATGATTCCTAGTTATCCTTCTAAGTTCCTTCCTTACTTTCCCCTCACAATATTCCAGCTACACTGGCCTTATTTGTCCTTGAATACTCACTCTAATCATTCTCCAGCATGGGACCTTTGCTTTAGTTCTCTCTGCTTGTAACTCTGAGACAGTGACGTGGCCAAGTCTCACCCCTGGTCTTTGCACTTCCTAAAGAGGCCTCATTTAATACTGCAACCTGTCCCTGGCCCCCGTCTAGTATGCCTAGTCCCCTTTACTTTTCTCTACTTTTTCTTTTCAGAGCACTTATTACTGTCGTATGACTGCTGTGCTGCTGTGTATTTTGCTTATATTTATTGTTTGTTTTTGTTTTTGTTTTTGAGGCAAAGTCTCACTGTGTCGCCTAGGCTGGATTGCAGTGGTGCGATCTCAGCTCACTGCAACCTCCGCCTCCTGAGTTCAAGCGACTCTCCTGCCTCAGCCTCCTGAGTATAGCTGGGATGACAGGCACCCAATACCACACCTGGCTAATTTTGTAATTTTAGTAAAGACGGGTTTTACCATGTTAGCCAGGCTGGTCTTGAACTCCTGACCTAAGGTGATTTCTCCCGCCTCAGCCTCCCAAAATGCTAGGATTACGGGTATGAGCCACCGCACCCGGCCCATGTACTGTATATTAGCTATTTACCTGCTACTAAAACATGTATTTCACAGGAGTGGGAATCTTTATTTGATCTTGTCACTGTTGTATCTCAAGCACTTAGATAATAAATACCTGGCACATAAAAGGTTATCAACAAATATTTGTCAGACGAGTAATTGAATCTCTGCGTGATGGCTGTGTTTAACGTATCTATTGGCTATGATAATCAGTTGAGGTTAATCATTCTTAAATTATAATCCAGTCTGAATTATTTATACCTTAAAAAGTAAAACTACTATTTTATTAGCTAAGGCATTAATTTGCCTTATATTGTTTTCCATTAGGATCGCTCAGTATCTTTTGGAGAAAGCAAGAGTAGTGTTTAGAATTCCTTTATTTTATGCTGCAGTGGACTGTATGTGGTCATAAAGTGTATTGACTAGTGGAGTTTAAAATTTGCGGCAAATTATTTAAAAATGCTTTTAAGATTTGGCCAATATTTGAAACTTGCAGCTTGATAATATTTTTCATTTTAATAGATTGTCCTTTTAGCAAGTATTTATTGAGTACCTGTTAAGTACTGAACACGTTCAGTCAGTCAGTGGGATTGTGATTAATAGCATGAGGTTGACTTAGAAAGACCTGGGTTCACATTCTTGCTCAGCTACTTAGTTTTGTTACCTGGAGTAGCTTTTGAAACTTAGTTTCAAAAAGCTGCAAGTCCACAAATAGGGATGATTGTGCTCATAGTTGAACACTAAAATAATAGTAAGGGCTAATAGTGTAATGGCACGTAAGAAGTATTCCACAAATGTTAGTCCTGTTAATATTTTATTATCATACATGTTCATCAAGCCCTGCCCTCAAGCAGTCTATTAAAGGAAATCGATTCCTAGTTATCCTGCTAAGTTCCTTCCCTACTTTGCCCTCACAATATTCCAGCTACACTGGCCTCCTTATTTGTCCTTGAATACTCACTCTAATGATGCTCCATTGTGGGACCTTTGCTTTAGTTGTTCCCTCTGCTTGTAACTCTTGAGACAGTGGCCTGGCTAGGTCTCACCTCTGGTCATGTTAATCATTAAAGTATAATTGAATAACTGTGATAATGAAAATTTTTACAGAGTATTGTGCTAACTCAGACCTCTAGTTCAGGGTAGATTTCATTTGAGCTACCTTTGAAGAAGGATTATTCCAGGCAAAAACAACAGTCTTTGCAGCTAAAAAGAGCATACATACAAAAGTAAAACTACTGTTATATTAGCTAAGGCATTAATTTGCCTTATATTGATCTTCATTAGGATGCCTGAGTATCTTTTGGATAAATTAAGAGTAGTATTTAGAACTCCTACTAAATTCTAAATTTGGGAATTTAGAATTCACATTTTTTTTTTTTTTGGAATGACTCAAGCATGAGGTGGTAATCATGAATGGTGGAAAGAATGAAAAGTTTATGTACCAGACAAAATATCTTTGTGAAATGGAAAGAGCTACTGAGGATTAAATCGATTACGTAGTTCAGAGCCTGGCATGAAGTAGGTACACAGTGTATAATAAATAACATTATTATAGGCAGAAGAATACATCAAATTTATATTTTAAGAGAATTCTAGGAGCAGTGTAGATTGGAGGTAGAAAAGAGACTAGAGAAAGCTAGCTAGAAGATAATATAATTATCTAAGGGATATATAGATGTTGACTTCATTTAAGGCAGTAGTGACTATAGCAAAGAGTGATTTTTTCAGTAAATAGGATAAAGATTGGATATAAGGGAAAAAGCTGAGAATGTCTTTTATTTCATATTTCTAGCTTGCATTTTAAGGTTTAAATTCTAGCTTGCTTTTTTACTGTTTACAGAGAAATGTTTGAATTTATGATGCCTCCACACTTAAGAGGAAGTTTAGGAGGAGAATCAATTTTTTAAAATCGTTGCAACCTCCGTCTCCCAGGTTCAAGCAGTTATCTTGCCTCAGCCTCCTGAGTAGCTGGGATTGCAGGCATGTGCCACTGCTCCCATCTCGTTTTTATATTTTTAGTAGAGATAGGGTTTCGCCATGTGGGCCAGGCTGGTCTCAAACTCCTTACCTGAGGTGATCTGCCTGCCTCCGCCTCCCGAAGTGCTGGGATTACAGGCATGAGCCACCACGCTGAGCCTTTTTGTCTTTTAATAAATGGTTTGTATTCTTTATCATGACCAATGTGTCCAAATTTATTCACTGTTAGGTAAATGAGTGTCTTGAGTTCAGACCTTTTAGTAAAGGAAAATTAATATATGAAAGCAGATTATTATTAGATGTTAAAGTCTAGATACAAGTCCAGGTTCTCTGGATGGCATTAGTCAGCAAATCATTTTTTCATTTTATAGAATTTACCGAAGTGTTCATTCTTGCTTATTTTTCTTAGAATGCATAAACTTGTAAAACCTTCTACTGAAAAGAAATATGTGGATCTTACTGTGTCATTTGCTCCAGACATTGATGGAGATGAAGATTTGCCTGGACCTCCAGTAAGATACTACTTCAGTCATGACACTGATTAATACAGGTTGTCTTAATGTTACTCCAGGACCACTTAATTTTGGAAAGAGTGCATTTAATTCAGAAGCTAAAAAAAATCAGCTCATGATACTATGGATTTCTCTTTCATTAAGCCTTAATTTTAAGGGAAACATCAGTAAGAAACTGCACTGAAGAATTATAAAACATTTTGGGGCATAGTATACACTTGTCTAACGGTTCACACATGGCTATGATCACAAGCAACTTTGAACTGGAATGCCGTTTACGAAAGTTTTGTGTATTAATCTGTGTATTAATCTCTCTGGATAAAAAGAAGGAAAAAATATGTATGACCAGAACAGATATGGATGAAGAAATTGAAAGCAACAAATGCAACTATCCAAAAAGTTTTATTTTATTTTATGAATTTCTTTTTTGTTTAGTCTTGAAGACTGATTTTCTGTACAAATAGTGTTTGGCACCCTGCACCTCTCATGATTAGGCTTTGAGAATTTAATGCCACTGGGAAGAAGAGGTATGGTAGTGGTGGATGAAGGGTGGACATTTTAAATTGTGCAGTTACAGTTTATCGTCCTGTTACCTCTGCTGGTTTAACCAGAGTTTGTTATATCACTGTGTCCCCCAAATCAGGATTTTGTTGATAGCATCAGTGTTGTAGGAGCAGTAGGTCAGATGAGACATATTAACTTAGACTAAATGTGAACAGTATTATATGGACTCACACAACGCTCTTAGAGAATCCGTGAATATGAACAGACAAATGTGGCTAACCATTTGATTCTTCAGTATGCCTTCTAATGTGGGTATTTTATTTATGTGAGACTCTAAACCTGATTGTTCTAATATATAAAACTAAAAGATTTTATAAAGGGAGTGTCTTTAGAAATAGTTGAAAAGTAGAATGTTAAACATTATTGCTAGGGTAGTCTTTTTTTTTTTTTTTTTTTTTTTTTTTTTTTCCAGAAACCTAATTAGGGTATTAAATTTTTTTTTTTTTTTTTTTTTTTTTTTTTTTTTAAAGAGAAGCATGTTATTTCATTCCCATTCCGAGAAAGGGAGTTAATGAAGATAAAAATTTATTTTTTAAGGTCTTTATTGAGAGAAACTTTCTGTTTTCTGATATGAACTATTGCAGATGTTTTTATAAGTACTTTCATTAAAATGATGTAAACAGTAGTACCCAACACTGTAAACTCAGTGAAAATAGTAAATGATTCTTTTATAACTAAGACTATCATGCATTCTGAAGCAATTGGCTTTTTTTTAACCATAGAAAGTCATTTCCCTCTAGCTCCTTTCCTTCTACTCTCCTTCTCAGAACATTAGTAGGTACTTTGTTAAATAAAAAACTAGATTAACATCAGTGTTACTCCAATTTGGTATCTTTTTACACTATGTATTATACTTTCTTTTTATTTCATTTACAAATACTTTAAATTACTTTATCAACCAGCTGTATTGTTTCCCTCTTTTGAAAAGTACCAAAGTGGGGAAAATGTATGTGGAAGTGGAGAGTGAATTTGCATGACTAAAGGATTATCTGTACATAGGGAAGTGGGCAAAAGTGGATAGGATGAATTTAAAGAAAATGACTTACTTTTGGAAAAAATAAATTAAATTTTGTTCACATAGCCTACCCTTTCCCATTGTGCATATCCCAAGTGTCATATTTAAAATTAAGGTTACTTAAAACAGAATCCAGGAATATCAAGGCTCTGTGGCTTGGAATTTTAGAGGATAGGACTAATAAAAGGACTTTTGCAAAGAAGACTTTTTTCCATGTTCACTTCGTTTTGTGTTCTTTGAAAGTAACTGATATTTTCCGGGTAGTCATTCAGCAATCCATGAATATGATCCAGTAACTTGCTTATATTTTATTGAAGTCTCAACATCTCTTCAGAAGTAAATTTAGAACGATGCTGTCAGTGCATATTTATAGATATTAGTCTTTTAGCATATAAAACAAAATCAACAAAAATTAAATTCATTTTGTGATTAAACCTGCAACCATTTTTCTATTACTTTTTTTCTATAGTTAATGGTTATTGCTATAATTTCTTCTGTTTGGTTCTACTAAGCTAGAAAGGCAGGATGAAGTTAATGATAATTCCCATTATTTTATTTCTGTACCATGAAATCACTGTTGATGACTGAAATAACAGGTGCAAAAATTAATGATTTGATTTTTGTACAGTTTCACTGAGTAATTTTTTACTTATTAAAAATAAATTAAGAAATGTAAGCATATCTTTGTAAATCATGTTTCGTAAGTTGACTCCAGAGATTCTGATTTTGCTATTTATTTTGTGAGTAATGTTGCTTTGGTGTTTCCTAATTTTCAAGTTTGCAATCATGGAGATACAGCAGTTATTAGGTATGGAGAGACATTGTCCTCCTCAAATGTCCTCAAATGGCTCCAGGAAATTCTTTTAAAACAGTTGGAGAGAGACAGTCGTGACCATCTAAAACCTAGAAGATGTGGTAAATCTCATACTACTGGTTAGGGATTTGTAAAGTCCATTTCTTTTTAGAGTTCAAAGCAGTTCTATTACTTGTAAGTTCTTCATAAATTGTCCCAAAGGTAGGATATGGAAATAAATGTGTATCTTTATATTTTAATCTTCTTTGTCACACTCTGGTGAATTCATGGAATATTAAAAAAGCAGTTATGTTTATAATTATTTTATAATTAGTATAATGAAGACAGAAAATTGTTCTTTTGGAATTTTGGGGGGAAAAAAAATCTTGTGACCTAAATCTTTCCACTATAATGAATATAATCAAATTTATTGTGATTGCACATATCTAATTTTATATAATCACTGTGTATGAATTTAGTGATTTTACTTTTCATAGATTCAAAAACATATAATCCGAATGCTTTCTCTGAAAAAAAAATCAGAGAGTTGAGCTCTTGAGGATCAGAGTAATTATCCATTGATAATATGTGTTCATTTTGCTCTTTCTATGTCATAGCTTTGTTTTTTATTGAGAAATATATATTCAAAAATACATACATATTCAAAAGTACATAAAATATAAATATGCAGTTCAAGGAATAATTTTAAAGTAACTCTATAACTAGCAGTCAGCTTAATAGAATATATTGACAGCAGTTCAGAAACTACCCATGTAGTTCCTTCCCAGTCACAACCAGCTAGCTCCCTGCCACATACGCTTTGGTAATTACCACTATCCTACCTTTTATGATAATTGTCTCTTTCTTTTTATAGTGTTATCACCTATGTGTGTAAACTTAATACAGTTTGCTTGTTTTTGAGTTTTATTTAAAATCATACATTCTTTTGTAGCTGCTGCTTGTCATGCGCGTCCATGTGAAGAGATCACCAAACAGGCTTTGTGTGAGCAATAAAGCTTTTTAATCACCTGGGTGCAGGCGGGCTGAGTCCAAGAAGAGAGTCAGCGAAGGGAAATAGGGTGGGGCTGTTTTATAGGAGTTGGGTAGGTAAAGGAAAATTACAGGCAAAGGAGGGTTCTCTGGCAGGCAGGAGTGGGGTTCACAAGGTGCTCAGTGGGGGAGCTTTTTGAGCCAGGATGAGCCAGGAAGAGGAATTTCACAAGATAATATCATCGCTTAAGGTAAGAACCGGCCATTTTCACTTCTTGTGGTAGGATGTCATCAGTTAAGGCGAGGCAGGGCATTTGCACTTCTTTTGTGATTCTTCAGTTACTTCAGGCCATTTGGGCGTATACGTGCAAGTCACAGGGGATGTGATGGCTTGGCTTGGGCTCAGAGGCCTGACACTTCTTTTGTTCAGGATGGGATTTATTCATGTTGGTTGTAGCTGTACTTTATTCTTCATTATGTCTGTGTAATTTACTTTTGTATTAATATGCCACAATTTATTTACTGTAGACAATTGGGATGTTTTTAGTTTCAGGCAACTACAGTTTCACAATGAACATTAATTTACGCAACTCCTAGTACAAAGAGTATATATCTAGGAGTAGAATTTTTTGGTCATAGGGTATTCATATCTTACATTTTATTAGATGATTACAAATGTTTTCCTAAGCATTAGTATGTTGGTTGGTTTTGTGTTGCTATAAAGGAATACCCGAGACTCGGTAATTCATAAAGAAAAAGGGTTTATGTAGCTCATGGTTCAGCAGGTTGTACAAACATTGCACCAGCATCCTTGCAATCATGGCAGAAGGCAAAGGAGGAATTGGCATATCACATGGCAAGAGGAGCAAGAGAGAAATAAGGGAAGTCCCAGATTATTTTTAAGAATCAGATCTCACATTAACTCATGGAACAAGAACTCGTTATCTCAACGAGGACACCAAGCCATTTATGAGGGATCCACGGATCCATCTCCATAACCCAAACACCTCACAGCAGTCCTCACCTCCAACATTGGGGATCACATTTCAACATGGTATTTGAAGGGGACGAATATCCAAACCATATTTCTCCATATCTTGGTCAGTGCTGGTATTAACAGTTTTTGTTTTTAATTTTGCCAATCTGGTGGATATGCAGTTGTATCTCATTGAAGTTTCACTCTGTATTTCGCTAATTACCTGTGAAATTGAGTATTTTTCCATAAGTTTATTGGCCAATTTGACTTTCTGTTTTTGTAAAGTATCTTGTTAGGACTGTCACAAATGTTTTTGTTGTGTTGCTAATATTTTTTCTCATTGATTAAGGATCTTTGTTGGCTGTATTGTTGTAAATATCTTCTCCCATTTTGTGGCTTGCCTTTCCTTGTCTTATGATGTTCTGTGATAAAAACAATTTATTAATGGTTAAGTACTAGGAAGTATGAGTGTTTTAAAATTAGAGTGTGAATTGTTTTAAAAAACTATTCCCTACCCTGGAGTCATGTCTTCTATATTGTCTTCTAAAAGCTTTAGTTTTGCCTTTCAGATTTAAATTTTTTTCAAGAGGAATTAATTTGGTGTATGCTAGGAGATGCCTCACCACCATTTATTTAAAGTCTGGGTTTTATTCCTCCTTTCTATAGTGCCACCAAAGTCATGTATTATATCTGTATGTGAATACATCTGTTGATGAAAAGAGTCAAACTCTGTAAATATTTTCAGAGATTATTCTGAGCCAAAGATGAGTGACCATGGCCTGTGACCCAGCCCTCAGGAGGTCCTGAGAACATGTGCCCCAGGTGATCAGAGTACATCTTGGTTTTATATATTTTAGGAAGGCATGAGACATCAGTCAAATACATTTAAGAAATACATTGGTTTGGTTCAGAAAGGTAGGACAACTCAAAGCGGGGGCTTCCAGAGTATAGGTAAATTTAAAACATTTTCTGGTTCACCATTGGTTGAGTTTATCTGAAGACCTGAGATCAATAGAAAGGAAATATTCAGGTTAAATAAGAGACTGTGGAGAACAAGTTTTATTGTGCAGAGGGAGCTCTCAGCAGACTTCAAAGAGAACAAGTTGTAAAATGTTTCTTATTGGATCTAAAAGGATGCCTGGCTCTTAGTTGATTATCTCCTGGATTTGGAAAGGAAGGAAGGGCCAAAAAAAAAAAAAAAAAAAAAAAGGTCGTGGGGAAAGGGGATTCTTTATAGATGGTAAATTTTTCCCACAAGGGATGACTTTGCAGGACCATTTCAAGATATGGCAGAGAAACATGTTTTGGGGTAAAATATTTTGATTTTCTTTCTTGTTATGCCGGAGTCAGATTGGAAAGTTTAGTCACGATATACAGGGTTAAATAAAACTCATCTGATGAAAATTTATAGTTTGTAGAGCATGACTCCCCAGACCTCTTAGACAGGAATTTGGGCAAGATAAAATAATATCAGAACTTAGTCCTTACATCTCAAACTTTTTTTTTCCCCTTTTTTCTATCCCTGTGCTAGTATACCATCCTCATCATTGTAGCTGATATATTCTTGATATCTGGCCAAACAAATCCTCCCAACTTATTGTTCTTTTAGAGTGTCTTGGTTTAGAGTGTCTTGGTTATTCTTAGCTGCTTGTATTTTCAGTTCTCAAATTTCTAATTGAAAGCATGTAAATTTGTCACTCCTGCAGTTTCTAATTGTCTTGCTGAAATTTTCAGTCTCTTACTGCTTCAAAATGAAGAGCATAATTATTTTCTAGTCTGTGTCTAATAATTCCAGAATCAAAACCCGCCTGTGGGTCTGTTTTTATTTTGTTTCTTTTAGTCTTCATTCTTACTATCTTGTCTCCTTGTGTGCCTGGTTATCTTTAATTATTTACCAATATTGTATTTGAAAAAACTAGAAATAACTTGATGCTCAGAATGATATTTTTATCCTCCACAGAGTTTTTTCATTTGCTTCTGACAGGTACTTGGGCATTAGTAATTTAGGATTATTTTGATCCAATTTCAGAGACTGAGATTTTCCAGGTCACCTAGGTGACTGAAAGCTGAGCTACAGACTTTGGTAGTGCTCTTCTGTTCATCCTTATTTCTAGGGTTCAACCATTCAGGGTTTTGAAGTGTGATTTGGAGTTACCAGGCCCTCACCTCTTCACTGACCCTGGACTCTATTTTTGAATCTTTATCCCCTTAGCTCTATCTACTCAACTTCCCAGTGGCCTTTTGCAATCTATAAATGCTCCTAACATAAGTCCCAAATGAAGGGTTCATTTTTCTGAATTTCTGTCTTTTTCCAGATATTATTGGCATGGTAATTACTCACCAACTTATCAGCTCTCTGCTGCCTTCCCACATGTTTGAAAAGTATATTTTATCCAGCTTTTCTGAATGTTTTCAATTGAGAATGTTAATCCAGATTACTTAGCCCACATTATTTCCTGTTGATTATGTATAAAATACAGTTGGTTTATTTGTATTATTTTTGTACCTGGAAACAATAAACTCTCTAGTGATTCTCTAAATTATTTGCACATTTTTTTTAATTTTCTTTTTTTTTTTTTTTTTTTTTTTTGAGACAGAGTCTCACTGTGTCGCCCAGACTGGTGCAGTGGCATGATCTCGGCTCACTGCAACCTCCACCTCCTGGGTTCAAGCAATTCTCCTGCCTCAGCCTCCCAAGTAGCTGGCACTACAGGCGCCCACCACAACACTCAGCTAATTTTTGTAGTTTTAGTAGAGATGGGGTTTCACTATGTTGGCCAGGCTGGTTTTGAACTCCTGACCTCATGATCCGCCCACCTCAGCCTCCCAAAGTACTGGGATTACAGGCGTGAGCCACCACACCCGGCCCATTTTTAAAAATTTTCTACATAACCTTAGCTCCAAACAAAAATAGTTTAATGTTTTCTAAGATCCAAATTTTGGTTTTGTTGATCCTTTCTATAGTATGTTTGTTTCCTATTCCATTAATTTCTGCCTTTATCAATATTATTTCTATTTTATTAGGGATTTTTTTACTATTCTGTTTCTAACTTGTTGAGATGGGTTACTTCTTTCATTTTTAACATGTCTTCCTTTTCAACATATACATTTAAAAGTTATCTCTATACTATTGTAATATAGTTACATCATACTCAACTATTGTCATAGTCCACAAATTTTGATACATAATGCTCATATTTAGTTAAAATATTTTCCTAATTTTCATTAGAATTTTCTCTTCAACCCTTTTTTAGGAGAGTTTCTTTTTTTTTCCAAACATGGGCTTTTCTAATTATGTTTTTTGATTTGCAGTTTAATTGAATTTTTGTCATAAAAAATCTTTCTGATTTTAATTATTTGAAATTACTTGAGACTTGCTTTATGGCCGAGAATATGTTAAATTTTTAATCATTTTTATGCATTTGAAAACAGTATATTCTGTAGTAGTTAGGGACGGTGGGAAGGGGAGAAGTCTCTTCTCCGTATCTTCAGCATTCTAGTCTCCTAGTACTCGTTATTTGTGGCGCCTAAAAACAAGCCATCTACTGTGTCTTTTAGGGTTGTTAATTATGTTGTTTAAATCTACTGTATCTTTACTGATTTTTAATATACCTATTATGTCAATTACTGAAAGAAATATGTTTAAAAATCGCCCACTATGATCTTGATTTGTCTCTTTCCCCTTGTATATGTTTCTGGTTTATATATTTTGAGGATAATTATTAACTGCATGAAGTTTAACATGTTATATTTTTCTGATGAATTATACTTATCACTATGCAGTGTATCTGTAATATGTTTTGCCTTAAAGCCTGTTTTCTCTGTAGCTATACTAGCTTTCCTTTAGTCAGTATTTTCACAGAATAACTTTTTTCATCTATTTAATTTTAATATCTCTGTATCCTTATGTTTTAAATGTGTATCTAGTAAACAAAATAGATTTAGGATTTTAGTGAAGTTTTTTGTTTTGTTTATTTTTAGATCCAGAGTCCCTCTCATGTTGCCCAGGTCAACGTGCGGTGGCTCAAGTGGCCCTCCTGCATCAGCTCCCTAAGTAGCTGAGACTGCAGACGTGCACCACCACACCTGGCTTTTATTATTATTATTTTTTAATCTAATAGAACAATCTTTGTCTTAAACTGGACCACATATGCCATTTACATATAATTACCAATATATTTAGATTTGTTTCTGCCATTTTAGTTTGTTCTGGGAGAGTTTAGGGTTTTTGTTTTTGGGTTTTTTGGTCTAATCTATTTTGTGATTCTTCTTCTGTTTTCTTGCCTTTTAAAATTAGTATTGACTTACTATGTTATTCTGTTTTTTCCAGTTATTAATTGATTATCTCTCAACTGCAGACTCACTTATCTGTATTCTGGGACTTTGTACCTAGAAATTTTTGCAAACTGTGCTTCTCCTTTGCCATCTGGCTTGTTTTTAGGTCCCACAAAGAAAGAGTACTAAGAGACTAGAATGCTGAAGATACGGAGAAGAGACTCTCCCCTTCCCTTTAGCCTCCCAGTATTGTCAGCATCACCTCAGCAATGGTTCTTGTTTTAGCAACTGTGGTTGGTTTCTATACTCCAACTTTTCTCCGGCATTCTGGAGGGTATCTCTTAAAGACTTCTAGGTTCTATTAATCCCATCTTTTTGCCTTTAATAATTGTGTCCCTAGTAGACATTCTCAGTTTTCTCAAAATCTGTTTACCAATTCCTTGTTAAATTCTTTCTTAAAATAAATGATGTTGTTTGTTCTCCTTGAGCAACACATATTTTTTTCTCTTTACTAGTTTGTCTTTTAATAATTACTCTATATTCCATCATATATATTCAGATTAAATAAAACTAAAGTTAATCATTACCTTTACCTTTGGCAGATTATATTTTTTCAAAAATAGCTACAGCAATATTTTCAATCCCACATACTCTTCTAGAAGCTTACTATACTCTAGTCCCCATTAAGACCTCTGAGGTCAAGTCATAAAAGGATATATAGCTGGCTTCCTCTTGACTATCTCTCATTCTTTTACTTGCTCTCTCTTGGAAAGCTAATCTTTGGAACCTAGACACCATGTTGTGAGGAAGCTCAAACTATCACACATGGAGAAAATCTCATGCTACCAGCCTGCAGGCAGCATCAGGTGGTCAGACATGTGAGTAGGCAGACTTTCAAATGATTCTAGATCCTAGACTTCACACAGCAGAAACAAGCCATTCCTACTGTGCTGTGCTGTGCCATACCAAACCCCTAAACCCACCGAATCTATGAACATGGATTGTTTATGCAACTAAGTTTTAGAGTTATTTATTGTGCAGATATAATAACTAGAACAACTCTTTAATTTCCAAGTTATGTACTATTGTCATATTTTATCTATATTGTGTGTTTTAATTCTGTTGTCATGTACTTTAATGTTCTTTAATTCTAAGACTTACATAGTCAGTGTTTGTGTTTATACATACACACATATATAAAACTTTCTTTGCTCTTCAGTATTTTTTGTTTCTAAGGCTTACTGCTATGGGCTGAACGTTTATGTCTTCCCCAAATTTGTATGTTGAAATTCTAATCTTCAAGGTGATGTAATTTGGAGATGGGGCCTTTGAGGGGTGATTAGGTCATGGGGGCAGAGCCCTTATAAAAGAGGCCTGAGATCTCTCACCCCTACCATATGAGGACACAGCAAGAAGGTGCCATCTTTGAGCCAGCATGTGGACCCTCATGAGACTCTGCATGAACCAGTGCCTTGATCTTAGACTTCCCAATCCCTAGAAATAAATTTTTGTCACCTATAAGCCAGTTTATCATGTTTTGTTACTGTAGCTTGATTGGACTAAAACACCATCTGGGATAAATTTTTATCTGAAATACTTGCTTTAAAATTTCATTTTGTGAGAGTCTGCTGATGGCATACTTGCTCATGATTTGTTTTCTGAATATATCTGTATTTTTTCCTCATTCTACAAAGATATTTTTGCTGAATATAGATGCCTAATTTGGCCTCTATTGTCGTTCAGCACATTGGCATTGGAGATATTTTTTCATTTTCTCATGACTTCCTCTGTTGCTCTTGAGTCAGCTGTCAGGCTAATACTTACACCTTTAAAGAAATTTAATTTTTGGCCAGGAGCAGTGGCTCAAGCGTGTAATCCCAACACTTTGGGAGGCCGAGGTGGGCGGATCACTTGAGGTCGGGAGTTCGTGACCAGCCTGACCAACATGAGAAACCCCGTATCTACTAAAAATACAAAATTAACTGGGCATTTTGGTGGGCGCCTGTAATCCCAGCTATTTGGAATGCTAAGGCAGGAGAATCGCTTGAACCCAGGGGGCAGAGTTACAGTGAGCCGAGATCGTGCCATTGCACTTCAGCCTGGGCAACAAGAGCGAAACTCCGTCTTAAAAAAAAAAGAAAATCTCTTTTTTTATCTGCTTTGGTTTTATGAAATTTAATTAATATGTTTCTGAGTATGGATTTATTTTTACTAATCCTGCTTAAGATTTGTTGAGATCTTTAAATCTGGATTTGTGTCTTTGATTATTAGTTCTGAAGAAGTTCTCAGATACTACTCCTTCACATATAACCTCTTCCTCATTATCTTTTTGTTCTGTGGAGATTCTCATTAAACATGATAGACCTTCAGTTTTCTGTCTTCACTTTTTAACACCCTCTCTTCTGTATTTTCCAATTGTTCTTTCTTGTCATGCTTTATTCTGTATAATTTCTTTTAACCCATATTCCAGTTTACTTACCTCTTCATGTGTTTCTTATCTACTTACAGCCATCTATTTTGTTGTGGTGGTGGTGGTTTTATTTTTCAGTCCTAAAAGTTCTGTTTGGTTCTCTTTTTTAAACCTGCTAGATCACTTTTATAGTTTTTTATTCTCTACAGATATTTTCTAATATGTCTGTTCTTTAAACTATGAGGGCTGTTGTATGGTCTTTGTCTGCTGGTTTCAGTTTCTGAAATGTCTGTGACCCTGTTTCTGTTGTTTCTTCTAGCTAAATGCATTGCTGGTCTCCTGTGAGACTCTCCACATTGGTCAGCCCCTGGCCTTTGATTTCTGTTTCCCTTGTCAGTTACTTTTCCATTTATTGCGTTCAACTACAATGTGTCACCAACTTTAGGAATCTACTTTTTAAAAGTTTTTCATATTAAGCACCCTAATTTCTTCTAGAATGCAAGAATTCACTCAACATTTTGAAATGATAAGAAATTAGAGCCCTTTAGTCTCATCTACCTATATTTTGACCAACTCAATTGTAAAACTCTTGAGAATAATACATATGTGCTTCTTTTGTAATTTTTACATCAATTAACAGTGATTTATATAAATAATACATTTCAATAAATACTTATATTAATGCTCAGGCTTTATGTCCCAACTCTTATATTTATGATTCCTTATTGTCACTGCCTCTCCATTTAAAAGAAAGCCTTACTTGATTTTGCATATATTGCTACACAGATTATTTATCTTCATATTATAATAGATCTTAAAGAACTGGTTCTCAAATTTGTTATATCTTAAAGAATTGGTTCTCAAATTTGTCATGTATAGCAATTACCTGTGGTGTGTGCTTAAAAGGCAGATTTCTGGACCTGCCTCAGCGCCGCCCCCCCGACCCCCGAAATTATAATTCAGTAAGTCTGAGAGAACTCTGCATATTTTCAGGCATCCCAGGGAGCTCACTGAATTAGTTTGCTAGGATTGTTGTAACAAATACCACAGACCATGTGGATTAAAGAACATAAATTTGTTTTCTCACCATTCAAGAAGCTAGATGTTCAAGGTTTTGGCCAGGTTGATTTTTTCCCCCCTGAGGCCTCTCTCCTTGAGTTGTCAATGGCTGTTTTCTCCCTCTGTCTCACATAGTCTTTCCTCTGTAGAATATAGACCATATCTTTTCATTGTTAGTTGATTGTGTAATTCCCAAATTGACTTAATCATCAAAATCAATTTAGAAATTTGCTTTTGAAGAAAAAAATTATGAAAAAATATCCGTGTTATTTTGATTCAGTAGATGTAGTCTGGGGCTGATGGTTCCATATTTTTAAGAACTCTGGGTACTTATAATCAGGCTCATCGTACTTATGACACAAGATGATGATACAGCCTTTCACCATCTTTGTAAGGAAATAATGGGCTGATTTTGAGTGGCAAAAAGATGACACCAACAAGAAACATGGGAATGGATACATTTATTTCCATTAACAAAAAATGTGGTATATAATACTTCCATTGGAAAAGGGCTTCTCTAGTACATTTCATGTCTCTGACTTCCAGCTAGGTAATTAAAATGACATATTTGATAAATTGGTCAAATCAGATTTCAACAAAACTTAGGTTTTCTGGGAATTGGTAGAATTTAGAACTAGAGAAACTGCTGTGGGAATTATATAGGGGAAATGTATTTCATTGAGGCCTAAAGAAAAAAATTCCATCTAGAAAGTAGTATGTGTTTTCGGCTTATGTCAGTGCATGGGAATGTGTATATCTGCAGGTTACCACCACAGCCATAGTCTCTAGTTTCCCTGTGAATTGGTTCCATTCTGATAAGATAATGAAATTGTATGGCACAATGTTTAATTCTAATTCTGGTGTTCAGGTGAATGACTTGGTAAACAGGATCAGTAGAATATAGATAATTCTCTTTAAAAGTAAGAACTTCATTTTGAAAATATAAATTACCAAGATACACAAAGGAGCTTTCACATTGTATTTCATGCAATGTGTGGATTTTTCTTCAACTTTTCACTTCTCCCTTCCATATTGGGTTCTTGACCTAGAAATTGTGGGTAGAAAAAACTTAATTAGCGAACCAATATTGTAGAAAACGATGGTTCTTTATTTTCAGTGACTTGATTTTCCTGCTCTTGTGTGGAACATTGCTGGTGTGTTTAGTAAATGTTAGGAAAATAAATACTGAATATTCAGATGGTTTTTTAAATTTTATTTTATCCTGGACCTGTAATTTCGTTCCTAATAATTTTTTTCTTCCTCTTTAGCTTAATATGAGTTACCTGCCTTATATTTTGAAGCAGCTTTTAGTTTAAACTGCTAATTTCTAGAGTTGGGAAATATCTTTGACCATTCTTGTTCCATTATTGCTCTTGCCTTCTGGTGTAAGAGAGAGCCAAATGCTGACTGGGTTAACAGGGATCAAAGAAAATCTTATTTTCTTTTAGATAATATTTTATTGCATATTAACTTTTTCCAAATCTCCAGATTGGAACCCTTACCTGCTCTACAACTCCCATTTCCCAACTCAAGGTAAATTGAAGTTTGATGTACTAGCAGTCTCACTGTGCCACAGCCAGCTATGAGTTCAAATTCCTGAAGCAATGTTAGGGTTCCACAAAGTTTTCTTAAAACATCAGCATTATTTGTCAAGATAAGTTTTGATCTTTTTGTAGCTTTTCTTAGGAAGTCCTATTTTCATTGTCATGTATTTTTCCATCATTTTTCTGCTTTTGAAAGAAAATACGTTACTCTACAGATAATATTCTAATTTTTTAAAGTCTTTCTTCACAGGCCCCTCTAATTCCATCTATTCTTATGTCATTCCCCAGTCCCTATAACAAAGGCATCTGAAATGCCGGAGGAGGCTGAGTAGTTTGTTCCTGATCACAAAGCAAACTGAACAAGTTCAGGCAAACTGAACAAGTTACCAAAAGCAATCTGGTTGTCTAACATTTTACATCAATAGTGCTTTTTTTTTTTTAAAAATTTTTATTTGTTGTTGTTGTTGTTGTTGTTGTTTTTGTTTCAGTATTTCTGTTGTCTATTTTTGCTTCCCTGGCCCTGCCCTGAGGGTGGGGCCCCTAGTCAAGGTGCAGCAGCATTTTGGCAGTTACAGCGTGGGCACCTAAAACCCCAAGAGAAAATTTATCCTTCCAGCCAGAGAAATCAGGAAAAATGGGCAGAGAGGATAATTGGAATTACATTTTTCTCTTTCTTGTCGCTGTCTCGGAGAGATTGGTCAACTGCAGTCTCACAGAACTGCAATTACAGCACAGGTGTCATTAATAAGCTCCATCATTCTAGTTAGAACACCAAAAAAAAAGGACCCTTGGGGCCGGGTGCAGTGGCTCAAGCCTGTAATCCCAGCACTTTGGGAGGCCGAGACAGGCGGATCACAAGGTCAGGAGATCGAGACCATCCTGGCTAACACGGTGAAACCCCGTCTCTACTAAAAAATACAAAAAACTAGCGGGGCGAAGTGGCGGGCGCCTGTAGTCCCAGCTACTCGGGAGGCTGAGGCAGGAGAATGGCGTAAACCCGGGGGGTGGAGTTTGCAGTGAGCTGAGATCGCACCACTGCACTCCAGCCTGGGCGACAGAGCGAGACTCCGTCTCACAAAAATTTAAAAAAAAAAAAAGAAAAAAAGGACCCTTGGCGGCTCAAGAGTATGGAGAAATCCCAGAGAGGTGACAGCTGGAAAAGAGTTATCTCCTAGTTCTGTGTATGAAGTGACACAAATTCCAGGCTCACCTCTGAATTGTGCATGCACAGATCCAGATACAAAACAGATGGCAAAGTCTTTGACTACTAAACTAAGGTATAAACCATGACCAAGTCCCAGGCTGTTGATTCCTGAGATACAGACCCAAAACAGCATAACAGAAGCTTTGAAAACTGAACCAATATTGGAATGGCTTCCCACAGAAAATGAGAGAGAACTGGTTCAATCTAATCAAGATGGTTGCCTGCTTTTAAAAATTGCTCCAGAGAATTTTAACAGGACCCAGAGGCTCATAACATAATATTCAAAATGTCCAAGACACAATACAGAATTACTTGATATATGAAAACCCAGGAATTACTTAATATACAAAAAGAGGAATGTGACTAATTCCCCAGTTTTCAAGGGAAAAGACAATTGATGCCAACACTAAGATAACCAAGATGTTGAAATTATCAGATGAAGACTTTAAAGCAGCTATGCTTCATGAGGTGGTCATAAACACTCTTGAAATGAATATAAAGATAGATGTTCTCAACAAAGAAAAGCTATAAAAACCAATGGAGAGAGGAGGTGGAGCAAGATGGCCAAATAGAAGCCTCCAGCTCTCACCCCGCCCCCCACAGAAACACCAAATTAAACAACTGTCTACACTAGAAAGCACCTTAATAAGAACCAAAAATCATGTGAGCAATTACAGTACTTGGTTTTAACATCATAGCAAGGAAAGAGACACTGAAGAGGGTAGGAAAAATAGTCTTGAATTGCCAACCTGGTCTCTTCCCCCATCTCCCAGCAGTGGCTGCTGGTGCAGAGAGAGAATCTGTGTGCTTAGGAAAAAAAGCAGACAGTGACTGTGGCACTTTGCATTGGAACTCAGTGCTACTTGTCACAGTAGAAAGCATCACAGGGCAGAATTCAGCCAGAACCACAGAGGGGAGCATTTAGACCAGCTCTTGCCAGAGAGGAATCATCCATTCCAGTGGTCAGAATCTGAGCTCTGACTAGTCTCAACATCACAGGCTAAAGTGATCTGGGGCTCTAAATAAATTTGAAAGGCAGTTTAGGCCACAGACACAGGGTCCTGGGCAAGTCCTGTTCTGTGCTGGGTTTGGAGCCAGTGGACATGGAGTGCATATGACCTAGTGAGACACCAGCTAGGGTGACCAGGGGAGTGCTTGTGTCACCCCTCCCCCAATCTCAGGCAGCATAGCTCCAGGAGAGACTCTTCCTTTCTGCTTGAGTAGAGAAGAGGGGAACGTAAACTTGGAAAGCAACTCAATTGGAAAACAGCTCACCCACAGTAAACAGGGCATCAGGCAGAATCGTGAGAACTCCATTTCAGGCCCTAGCTTCTGGGCATTTCTAGACACGCCCTGGGCCAGAAGGGAATCTACTGCTTTGAAGGGAAGGACTCGGTCCTGGCAGTATTCATCGCCTACTGCCTAAAGCACCCTTGAGCCTTGAATAAACATCAACAGTAGCCAAGCAGTACTTGCTGTGGGCCTTGGGTGAGACCCAGAGCTATGCTGGCTTCAGGTATGACCCAGCACATTCCTAGTTGTGGTGGCCATAGGGAGAGACTTTTGCTTAAGGAAAGGAAAGGGAAGAGTAAAGGAGACTTTGCCTTCCAGCTTGGGAACCAGTTAGGCCACAGTGGGGTAGAACACCAAGCAGGGCCTTGTGGTTCCCAATTCTAGACCTTGGTTCCTGGATGGCATTTCTGGACCCACCTTGGGTCAGAGGGGAGCCCCTTACCCTAAATGGAGAGACCCAGGCCTGGCAGTATTCACTACAAACTGATTGACGAGCCCTTGGGCCTTGAGTGAACATCAGTGGTAGTCAGGCAGTACTCGCCACAGGCCTAGAGTGGTGGTAGTCACGGGGAGAGACTCCTGCTTGAGGAATGAATGGGAAAGACTTTGTCTTACACCTTGGGCGCTGGCTCAGCTGCAGTAGGATAGAGCACCAAATAGATTGCTAAGGTTCCTAACTCCAGGCCCTGGCTCCTGGATTGGATTTCTTGAGTCCCTCTGGTCTGGCTTGGAGCTCTCCAATCTGAAGGGAAGGATACAAGCTTGGCTGGATTAGCCACTTGCCAAATCATGAGCCCTTGAGCCTTGAGTGAACATCAGCGGTACCCAGACAATGGTCACCACTGGCATTGGCCAAGACTCAGTGCTGTGCTGGCTCCAGGTATGACCCAGCACAGTCATAGTGGTGGTGGCACAGGAGTGCTTATGTCCACCCCTCCCCCAGCTCCAGGAAGCTCAGCACAGAGAGAGAGAGAGAGACTCCATTTGTTGGGGGGAAAGTAAGGGAAGAGAGCAAGAGTATCCACCTGGTAATCCAAGACATTCTTTTAGATCTTACCCAAGACCATCAGGGCACTACTCTACAAGTCTGCAAGAGTCACAATGTTCCTGGGCCCACATGCCCGCAATGTACATATGGCTGCAGTGACCAAAGACTTAGATCAGAATAGTCAATTCTTTTTGAAGACTGGGAAAACCTTTCCAAGAAGGATGGGTACAAACAAGCACGTACTGTGAAGACTAGATTAAGTACCTAACTCTTTAATGCCCAGACATCAACAAACACAAGCATCAGGACCATACAGGCAAATGTGACCTTACCAAATGAACTAAATAAAGCACCAGTGACCAATTCTGGAGTGACAAAAGTGTGTAAACTTTCAGACAGTGAATTCCAAATAGCCATTTCTAGGAAGCTCAATGAAAATCAAGAAAACACAGAGAAGGAATTCAGAATCCTATCACATAATTTAACAAAGATTGAAATCATTTTTTTAAAGTCAAGCAGAAATTCTGGACCTGAAAAATTGACATTCTGAAGGATATATCAGAATCTCTCAATAGCAGAATTGATCAAGCAGAAGAAAGGATTGGTGAGCTTGAAGACAGGCTATTTGAAGATACACAGTCAGAGGAGACAAAAAAAGGAATAAAAAGGAATGAAGCACACCTACAATATATTGAGAAGAAGCCTCGAAAGAGCAAACCTAAGAGTGACTGATCTTAAAGAGAAGGTAGAGAGACATATCAAGGTAGAAAGTTTATTCAAAGGAACAACAGAGAACTTTCCAAATCTGGAGAAAGATATAAATATTCAAGTACAAAAGGTTATAGAACACCACGCAGATTTAACTCAAAGAAGACTACTTCAAGGCACTTAATATTCTAACTCCCAAGGATGGGATAAAGAAATCATCCTAAAAGCAGCAAGAGAAAAGTGACAAATAAAATACAAAGGAGCTCCAATACATTTGCCAGCAGACTTCTCAGTGGAAACCTTATAGG